TGTATATATAATAAATCTATTTTATTTCATAATTTCTAAGACTTGAATGAAAAGTCAGTTTATCCTTAACTTTGTTTATTTCTAACTACGCTCTCATAAAATTTTCCAATTAGTTCCTATTATTCAGCTTGCAGAAGTTACTGTTGTTGTTACATTAATAATACTACATAAGATACCTTGTTTGCTGTGATATAAATATATCTCTGAATCTAAGTCATATACTTCTATTAATAGAAATGATAATTAAGTCATCGTATTTTTTATCTTAAACATTCGCGTTAGAGCAGTATTATCAATGGTAGATGAAACTAATTTTTTATTGAACTGCATAATTAATATTTTGTTTCCTATACTCTAGCAGACTATGTGTAGGCATTTTAATTAACCGGAACGCAAATTAAATTTATTGTACCAGCTGCAATGGGAGTCTTATTTACTGTAGCATTTCATATTACAGTAAAAAATTTTTTAAGAATTCAAAGGGTTTTCAGTTTATTTACTATAGTAAAAATAGCATCCTAAATCAAAGTCACACTTAGTTCTTGATAGATCAAAGTATATATACTCTAGAAACGTACTCATCTACTTAGTCTCATCAATTTCAAAATACAAACATGTTATTGTATAGAATATTATACAATAGATGATTTTCTGACATATTATTCAATATTTTGTTAAATTATAAATTTTCAAAAGCTTCTAATATCGACTATAGCTGAGATATGATTGTATGTTTTATTATTGACAAATAATTTATGTAGTATACTACTGTATGCAGTGTATTGATGCCCTAGCTACATGAACTTTTGAGCCTATCACCAATTAACCAATACATGCGAGCATAGATTTGTAAGAGTTACCTAATAAAAGTGCATTCAAGATAAGAATATTTTTTATCTACATTGTGTTGGATATTGATAATTTACTTGTGACAATTTATTGAACATACGTGTAAGTACCGAATTTACTTAAAATATAAGGTAGTGTAAAAGAAAACTCTATTAAAGATTTTTGATTAACTGCGCTGTTACATTCAACCTTTAAGAAGGTCATTATGAAATATTATACTATATTTTGTATATAGTACGGATAGATATTTTATACTAATGTTAATAAAATAATAAATCAAATGTATTATTAGAAAATATAGATAATATGCCTATATTGAACATATATACATAAATTGCTGTACATTTATCTAAACATAGAAATTGTTATATGCTAATATTTCCGACGGCATTAATACATCAACTCGCTATTAAACGACGCAGACAACAATAGCACAGTCTAAATCTAAATTCTATGGTACTAGGCAAAGCGAGTAACTGAGTATTGCTAATTATACGAATAATTACTAAAAATTACCAATAGTATTCACGGAAGTTAAATCAATATCGGAAATGGAACTTTTATTTCATATCCATTGTTGAAATACACAGTATCCAGTGACGCAAATACTAAAAAAATCTATGATAATTAAATATCAACAATTTATTCAAATTACCCATAGGCAAAAATTAATAGAACTTTTTTTAATTATCCTTGCAATAATATTCATTTCTGTATTGTTTATTAGAACTGAATCTAGTATGTGTAGTTTGTGAATAAACTTACGTGTATACGGGGGGGGGGGTACTGTACTTAATACGATATTCTAGTAAGCTATGTATTCTATTTATATGTAATACGCGGAATGAGAGTATAACTATCTATTAATCACTCTAAAAGGTTTTAGTAAATCATTTAAAAAGCTACATAGTATATTATTCTGATGTTTCAATTATTGATATAGATGTAACTTATTCAATAAATAATAATAAATGGCAGAATTGGATATATCGAATCGATTACTCCTAATATTGGGACTCTACAATAAATTAATTAATTATTTATTCCATTACCAGCTTAAAATCGAAAAACGAAGTAGAAAAAAATCACTTGTTTATACAAGTAAACGCTATTAAATCTAGAAGGAGAAGAACGGGTGTATTAAAAATATACTGATACAATGATACTGTAAATTTATTACCAGAGATGATCCGGACACTAAAGTATTTATTCGTCTAAGAATAGCATGTGGTATTTACGCGTATTCATATTTAGATATGTGCACATTTAGCATCTTAACGAAATAGCTTTCATTTTAAAGCTAAGTATTTTAGCCGACACTTCATTAGACATGTATACTGTGCGATTGTGAGCACTCATTACTAAATTATTATTTGTGGAGGTAATAAGTACCCTATGCGACTACCTAAGAAAACTCCTTTTAGTTCTCCGTGGCATATTCAGAGTAAAATTCACCGATAGAAATTCCATCCAAGCAGCTGTCGAAAATTAGTAATAATTTATTTCAAAGGAAATGTTGTAAGTGTATAGGCTATAAAAAAGCAAATATATAAGTATACAAGTATGATAAGAATACAGGTATTCCATTACTGGACTACCTAAACGAAAATTTTGCATTCATTTTTGCCTATTGTATCCTAGTATGACCGATAATTACTGTATATTCAATGTTTGGTTCTTATAATCGAAACGCAGTTCAATTATTATTATAATAGACTTTCTCATTATTAGTCTTGCCAATTTATTTCGTGAATCAAAGTTATTTAAATCGTAAATCTAGAAATTGGCTGTTATATATCTTGAAATTTTAATTTGTTATGCTATAATAATAGCTGAAAGAAGAGAAAAATTATTAATTGCATGAATTATGCAAAGAAGAAAAAGTTGATATCTAATTCCAACATTTTATCGTTATCACAACATATTTACGTTTACGACACCTCCATCTACACTCGATAACATTTGCACCTACCATAATAACGAGTTATTGTTTTGAAAAATAGTTGTATATTGACTTCGGATATTCTAGGCAATTGGAGAGAAAAGCTTTTTGTTACTAATTCTTTTTTGTATTTTGTAAGTACTTTACTGTACATTGATCAAGCATAGACAAATAGACAATCAATGATTAAAGCATATCGTAAAATGACGTAAAACTCTTCATCGTTATAATTACAAAGTAAACTTGCGTACAAAGTATCGGATTTAAAGATTTCAATCTTATAGAGCCACTTAAATTGCAAAAGAACTACCTAATTGCAGTTTACTTACTATCCATAATTATTACAAAGGATATCAAGAAACACTATTCCGCGCGCTCTTACAAATTACTTATTGCTCTTGCTGACTCAGCAATATAGAGGTTATAGAAATAGTTCACATATTTTCCACTTAAATACAATATAGAGTACAGCATACTATTTATGTGATACGTTATTCGTATACAGTCGCAATTTAATTCAGCAATTTTTTTACTGGGTAATAAATAGAAAGCATATTAAATACTGCATCATACTAACAGCAAAATCGATAGGATCTAGTAATGAGTAAACTCCTGCTATTCCAATAACCCCTTTTATGTACAATTAGCTGATTCTATCTTATAACTAAATACTGTACTCAAGTATTACCAAATCATGATGCTTCTGATATAAAGTCTAGTGATGCATTGAGAAGGGAAAATATCATTTTTAAACTTATCAGTCGCCGGTAAAAAGTAAATGGTATATTTCAAGCTTGTTCCAAAGAAGAAAACCAGTAAAAGATTTTAGGATTGGTCGAGTGATGAAAGCTATTCTTAATGCCGCTAGATATTTATTATCACTTGACTATCATAATAAATCATTGTGCTTTTGAAACAAAAAGCGTAATAAATAATTAATATCATCAGATACTACCTTATACTGGCACAGTCGATAAGAGGGCTTTTCAATGACTGCAACAGGAACTTTACCCATGCTATAAGCATTTCGGTACAATCTTATTTAATAAATTAATTGTCTAATTATTTCCTACTCAAAATTTTAGCACAGTAATACAATTGAATATTCATAATAACGACAATATCGAACTTTAAAACTTTGAATTTGTCTATAAAATCCGTTTCATTTAAAGTATATTTAGGATATGGTAAGTACCAGAAATAATGAAGCTGGTAAAACGAATTATTGAAATTGTAAATTTATTTACTCAAGCTGTTATTCAAATTTAAAGTATGATATTGATTATATCGTATTTGGTGTACTTTTATAAATTTATGCACTATAGTAACAATCGTCATTTCGTTGCTGTTTACGATGAATTTAGTCTGTCTTTTTAGGTGTACCAAATTCAACCTGAAATTTGCATTACTAGCATTGATTATGTATTAGAGCTATCCTACATTAATAATAAGACATTGCAAAGGTATAAGGAGCAGTATTCATATCAGATTTTGACTAGAACATTACTTTAATCGAAATTTTTAAATCGTAAATAATACACGTTATAATAAGAGAAAGCTTAATACGTATTAATTCATGGGAATAACACTACCTGAATAACACTATTAAATAGAACTGATTTAGTTTACTTTACGCTCACTATCGGCGTTTCAATGTTTCAGTTATTGTTCTATATTTAGCATTTAATTAATCGGATCCCTTTTCTTTACTGGGCTCTTAATAGAGAAGATACCGCAATAGCCAAATTAATAATTAGTTGTTGATAGAATGGTAATCATCCAATATAAAGTGATGATGATAATTTACTACTAAGACAAACCGTCGAATTTCACATTTAAAAAAATTTTGCGTATGGCATAGGCTATCAATAGCTCTAGATCGTTAAAGTTGCAATGTTGCTTGTACTATACCAGCTATAGAAATGCTCCCAAATATAAGATTAATTGGGCCCTTTCTTAAATCGATCATTTTATTATATCAAATAAACATTTATCGAAACAAGATAGGATCTAGTGAAAATGATCACATATAAGGTAATACGACTGTAAGCAAGGAGTAAATAATGGGGTAAACTGATTCGCAGAACAGAAATAATTTCATATTATAATGGCAACGTTTTCATGTATGCCACAGGCGATCAACGCATTCCGGTTGTAACATATTATTTATTCATTCATTTAACAAGTTGACACAAATTAAAACCTACTAATGGCTTACAAAAATTATCCGAAATAGTGAGCTATAAATTAAACAACAGTTTTCATAAAAGTCATTTATAAAATTTACCAACGTAAATCAAATGCAATTAAACATGTAAACAATGCGATGAATAAAGTAGACCATGTAAAAGCACGACCGGCAGACCCTGTAGACGGTGTAGTTACTTGCGGTTTCGTGGTAGTAGTGTCCCAACCGATAACTTCGTCCTTATTTTGTTCCTTCAACCAGTCATCAAGTGGTTTGAAGTATTCAACAATTGCTGAAGCATCCATCTCTCGCTGACCAGTAATGGCTTCCATAGCATCTTCCCAAGATTTACTTCTACCTAATTTCAACATATCTCTATATAGAGGATATTTTAATTTAGTCTAGCTAGCGTAAAAATTTTTGACGTTTTGCATTTAAAATGGAGTAATTGTTTTCGAGCAAAATCTCGAACTCATACTGTTTACCCTAATCTCTTTCCGGCTTCTTTGGACTGGTAAACAGAACATAAATATAATGGCTGTGTATTGCCCGCAGCTTGGCAAAGCGCCTTCTGGAATTGGAACTGAATGATATAACTAATAAAATACCTGTAAATAGTATCAAAAGCATGACGATCAGATGCAAATTAAAAAACAATCTGATTATACGTGTATAGAACGATTTTATAATTGGTGGTAACATAGTCATAGTGTACATCAATGGTTTGTAATTATATATCGGCACATAAAGTGATCAGTTAATATTTACCTAATATATGGAGTACTACCAGGGATATGATATTTCGCGCCAGGATCAAAATCTTCTTCAGTTCTGGAAACGGGCGGTATAATACCTTGATATTTGGTTCGTAGTTCCCACCAAGCTTTGTTGTAATTTTCAGGAGTGATAGAGCCATCAAATACCTTCCAACGCCATTGATCGACTAAATATCCAAATGGAAGGAATGCAATCTTGTCCAAAGCTTGCAACATCAGGTAATTGATAGCGCTTTCTAAAGTTGTAATCAGTAAATAGCAAATTACGCTGATTGTAAAAGACAAATAGTTATATAATTACCCAGACAGGATGGAAAAAGATTACAGCTATCGATATCACACATTTAAAGTAGATTATTTGCTTCACGCATTTAGTCATGGGCAAATAATTTATTTTTACCTTGATCGTTTTCAGAGGATTTTAGTAGTCCAACCTTCCTTAAATGATCAGGTGTTGTGACGGACAAAGAAATAGTATCACCAACAGCTTCATGGAAAGCAGGGTTAGCTCCGGATCTGTAGTTCAAGGGTTGGAATCCATACTGAAGATAATATTGAATATGGCCCATTTCATGATGGACGGTTAAGAAGTCGTCAAAGTTAATTTGTGTGCACATTTTAACTCTAAAAAAGACAGATATTCGTTAAAAATAAAAAATGCACACCTTTAGATAAGTAATGAATCAAATTGTCAGTAAATCAATATTTCTTCAGTTTAAAATTCAAAGTAAACTTTTGACTGTGCTGCTTAGCAGTTAATCCGTGTTTAAGTTAATATTACTACAGTATTATAGTGATAGTAACAGAACTTGAAAAGAGTAAACACCTAACATCTCCTCTGTAAAAGTCCCAAGCGGATGCATGACAGATTGCCTGTCGATCTTTTGGTTTTTCAAGCATAGAATTCTTCCAGAAGGATTTAGGTACACGTTCTAGACCCATACTGACGAAAAATTCATCAGCTACTTCAAATATTTTCTTGACCGTATAGTTTTGTTTAACCATTTCATCAGTTACGTCCAATATTTGCTTTTTGGGATATGGTACCAACATATCATAAATATTAATCCATGATTGTGCCCACATATTACCAAAGAGATGAGCGGGTACTGGACCTGTGCGTGAGACTTTATCGGCACCATATTTTTCTCTTAATCGCTTTCTAACATAAGCGTGCAGATTTTGATAGAACGGTTTCAATTGTAACCATAACTTTTGAACATTGTCAGTAAAGGCTTTGGAGTTATTGCCATATCTGGATCTCCATCTGGCACCTATAAGTAGGATTGGTACATACGCTGTTTATAAAGGGTGCGACTAAATGTACGTTGAATTTACATGTATTTCATTTTAATATTTTGTTGTTTCTAGTAGCGTTGTATCAACTGTAGTTGAGATTTAAAATATTAATTACGGCAAAACAAGTTATTATAGGAAACAGAAAGTGAACAAACCTGCATCACTATAATTTGCTTGTTTAGCTAAGGTGTTCATTAATGAAACGTATTTTATATAGTAAGGCTTGATACTTGGTCCGGTACCATTTCTCCAGCCATGCCAAGCGAAAAGTAGTTCATTATAATCCCTGGACTTCGCTAAAATTCCATCCAAGCCAGGATTTAACGAATAACATGCTGTAAATTAAAATGAAATTCAAATACATTAATGTTTCAATAAATCACATTATTTTCGTTATTTTTCTAATTGTCTATTGAATAGTTACGGGTCGATCATAGTTTTGATGTACAGTACTTAGAAGCCAACAAAATGCAGTACTGTTAAATAAATCAGTTATAGTCATTAAGTGAGATTTTAGCAAAAAGGTAATATCTTACTAGTCCCATTGCAGGCTTTTCCAGTACTATATAACCTATCCATCTCGTTATTAACACCAACAAGCTCTTCCGATTCTGGTGAGCCAGCACTTGCTGGTATAAATGTAGCAATCCGTAATTGGCGATCAATCTCTGAATTGATCGATACATTCTGTAAACTGTGTCCCTTTCTTCTTAAAGCTACAATGGCGGCGGTTGTGTTAATAGAGCTCTCAGCAGAGAGTTTGGCATTATGAGATGTTAAATTTGTGCTGTAGTTCCATTGATACCAAGTATTCTTATGATAAATCTTTTCAGCTTCATGTTGATACCACATGACGAACTTAATAGCTTGCTGTTTGACAGTACCTACAGTAGTTGAACAGTACATTATAAAATCATGCTTAATAAGAGAATTTTGAGATACGGGTATAAAAAATGTTATTTGCTTACTTTAATATAAATTATAGTATAGTAGCATTAGAGAAACTTTTGAAATTAAGTACATAAAATCATTTTACTCTGTGTCACTACTCACCGTTTCCGGCCCAGCCAACTTTGAAGTTATTATCCTTATTATATTTCGTCAACCAGTCATTTAATGGTTTAAAGTAATCGATGATTGCTGTAGCATCCATACCAGTACCACCGGTAAGAGCTTTCAATACTTCTGGCCATGGCTTGCTTCTTCCAAGCGACAACATTTCACTATACAAATATCCAAGAATTATTAAGTTCATGAATAAATATGAGATTGCAAGAGGATTATAAATGTAATGGCTATAGCAGATCAAGGGATATGGTGTTAAATTAATAAATCAATAAATGCTATAAGTTCCTTTATGCAGTATAATTATTTGTTTAACCTTAATTTTTCACCAGCTTCTTGAGATTGATAAATAGAACAAAGATATAAAGGTTCATTGGTTTTGTTTGCAGCTTGACAAAGCGATCGCTGGAATTGAAATTGGAGGATGTAGCTAACGAAATATCTGTTAATATTGAAATTTTTGGATTAGTTATCATGATCTTAAGCAACTCCTATCGCGACATTAATGCGAATTTAAAGACGATGGGAGAAATAAATACGAAATTAATTACTATTGAATATTTGGTTGTCGTATGGTTCTACACAATAATTACCTGATATAAGGTACACTGGCAGGAATATGATATTTTGCGCCTGGATCGAAATCAATTTCGCTACGAAGTTCAGGTGGAACAATTCCTTGGTATTTATTCCGTAGCTCCCACCAGTTGTAATTATAATCGGTTGGGATAATTTCGCCGGAGAAGACTTTCCACCTCCATTGATCCATTAAGTAGCCAAATGGAATAAAAGCAATCTTATCCAGAGCTTGCGATAATAAGTAGTTAATGTCGGCCTCTGTTGTTGCAGATAATTGGGGTATGAATACAATTCAGATATATTTAATTAATGATATAATTTTCGGGGAAGAAAAATAATATCAAGCATAGTACTTTAATTATCAAAATTCAAATTAACAACGGTAGTGCAAAAATAACCTTGCGCAGAACGTTAATAGCGACTTAATAAATTTATGTACATTATCTGATTAAAACTGAGGATATAAGACCATGATTTTGCCTACCGTTAGAGCTGCTAACTTGTTTAAGTAATCCAATGTTTTGTAAATGCTTGGGTGTTACTACTGACAGAGCAAGGGTATCACCAACGGCTTCATGGAAACCAGGATTGGCTCCTCTTCTATACACACTAGGTTGATCCCAATATTGAAGATAGTATTGGATATGGCCTAATTCGTGATGTACTGTTATCAAATCACCTTGATTGATGTTAGTGCACATCTTTACTCTAGAAAATGTAAACCAGATCAAGATCAACTACAAGAAAAATATAAATTTCGTATATGCAGAGAAAAGCTAAAGCAAGTTATACGATTATTAGTTTATCAGTTTCTACAAGGGATCAACTATTAAGAACACTGAAATGGAAGAGTTTCACGTACTATCGTAATGAAATGTGTCAGCATGTACAGCTGGAATATTAAGAATTATGGCAATTGGCATTTTGTAACATAGAAAATAATTAAATTCGATATTGTGCTTACCTAACGTCGTAATCGATAGATAAATCCCATGCGGAAGCATGACAAGTCATAGCAACGTCTTTCCTCTTTTCAATGATGGAATTCCTCCAAAAGATCTCAGGTAATTTTTTCATCCCAATGGATAAAAAGAATTCTTCTGACAATTCAAACATTTTCAATACGGTATAGTTTTGTCGCACCATCTCAGAAGTAACATCAACGATGGGTTGATTGGGATAAGGAACAACCATATCGTAGAGATTTTCCCACGATTGTGCCCACATATTGCCCAATAGATGAGCTGGTATTGGGCCATCTTCAGAAATTTTATCTTTGCCATATTTCTGCCTCAATTTACCACGAATATACCCGTGCAACTGCTCATAAAATGGTTTCATTTGTGTCCATAATTTTTCTAATTCAGCAAAAAATTGTTCATCGGGTAATTCGTATTGCACTCTCCAGTAGGCGCCTTCATCAGCATAATTATTATCAGTAGCACCAATATTGGATATTTCGACATATTTCATATAATCACGCTTAACATTGCGTCCAACTGAATCACGCCATCCCTTCCAAGCGAATACTAATTCGTCGTAATTTCTAGATTTACCGATGATGCTATAAAGGTCAGGATTAAGGACATAGCAGCGAGTTTTGTTACATACTCGGCCTTTACTATAAGTTGATTCCATTTTTGCAATAGTAGCTAATAGTTCCTGTAACTTTGTGGAATCCTTTGGAGAGTCGTCAAGGGTCAAGAAAAAAAACTGCCTTTTAACATCAGCGCTCATATTGGTGGTGTCAAAAGCTTCAGCTTCTTTCTTAGACCGACTTAAAAACTCGGCTAACGCCAAACTAGCATCAATGCTAGCTTTTTCAGTGGTTGGATTAATATCAGAGCCATAGGCATAGCCAGCTTTAGATGAATTATGGCGATATAAGGTATGGCTATGATTGAATCGACGTAAGAAAGCGATTGCTTCAGCTTCGTTAGTATTCTTTTGGCCGCAGGTAAAATGGGCTAATACGCAGACGACAATGGCAGCGACTAGAGCAAAGGTTCTCATCTTTGACTCCATCGATACCAATTCCAATTTCAAACTAAAACAGATAATTTGATGTCAATCCTTTTTGTTAACTCTTCAACTGTCATAACGCATTCCGGCGTGACAGGTACGAGACATAGTTGTTTATTTATCTACTACATCGTAGTGGAATGTTACAAGATACTGGAGTTAAGAGATATTAAACTGTCTTTAAAGTCACGGGGAAATAGCTCTTGTTTATTTTACTAATTTTTATTAAACTTTGAACCTATGTCTTAGTACTGGTTTAGGTTAAAAAAACACATCGCACAATTTGTTATCGATTTATTTGGGGCAATCATACATCAACACCTAATGCAATCATCGTGTGTTATAACTTCATTTGCATATCTTTGGGCGTAATTTTGTATTAGTTTTGGCCTGTTTCTTAGAATGTAAGATTGTCATTTTCTTCGTTTTCGCCTGTATTAGTAGCGTTATAAATATACTTATAAGAACGTGAATTTATGTATCGTACTTATGTTAAAAATATTGTTGAAAGTATTGTCTACCATATTTTCCTGCTGATATTAAGTGAATTGACCGTATACTTAACAGGTATCAAATATTTATTCTCGTTGAAAAGAGTTTACTACTGGAGTCTCTATTTATGAGATTATTTATATCGTATACCGGTAGTGTATACTAACTATTCTTTCATACTAATTTTTTAGTCAATACCTATGCACGAGATTTTAATCGTAAAATATAAAATAAGGTTGCGAATCCACTTAGAAAAGTTTAAATCGTGAACGCTAAGATAGAAAAATCCTATTCTTTTCATTTCATAAAAAATTACAATCTTAGATCTATATATTTGCAATGGAATAGAATTTTTTAGCTAAAATCTAAAACTTTTATTTATAAGGCAATATAAAAAACTATTAGATATTTACCGTATATTGGCATAGTAGACTGTATATACGCGTATATCGTGCACTACAGTGTGCCAAGACTGCTAAATACCATCATCAGTTTTAAGTTTTACTGTACCATATTCTTTACGTGACCATCAACAAATAAAACATTCGCATAATAAAGAATTCGGCTTATCGTTATCTATGTGAAATATCTGGCAACGGACATAGTGAATGTAAACTACTGCAGCTCTGTACAATCAATAATTATAATGATACATTATATTTACTTTCTTCGCTATAGATAGTACAAATACAACTCATATAGTAATGCAATCGACGTAATCAAAATTAATCTAGAATTGTAATTTGGATTAGGAAATTGCTGATAGGCTGAGTTGCAAAAGTAAAATATTACTTTCACCAGATCGGGCATCCGACAGGTTTGCATACTTTTCCCTATATATCGAATTGGAATGCTATGTCGGTACGTTCTGAATTGTGTCCGAAGTAAAATCGGAGCCCTGCAGTAGATCTTCGACCGATTATATGTGTTATTATTTGAGTGATATTTCATATTGATACTTCGAATCAGTTCGGTATATTTGTATGTGAGTTAATTGATGAAATTATTATTCTTGTGAAAATGGCTTTTTAAGATATGATTAAATACAACTGGAGAACGTATCAGTAATGATAAAGCATAATGTGATCTCCCAATGACCACAAGCGGTATACCGAGTTAATAGTTCAAATTATTTTTTACTAAATTGCATTGTATTTACCACATATTTAAGACAGACATTATGTTAACTTTTTTTCAGCACTAATCAATCAATAATTATATATATGAATTATTAAATTATATCATATACTTCTCGGGCATTGTATACATTGCCCGTAACAGCAACAGAAAAATCGGGTGATCCACTTTCGACCCGTGACGTCATTGGCTTCGCTGCAACCCAATCCTTGCGTTCTTCCAGTACCTGTCGTTGACCCGCAGTCAAAAGCCTATGTTATCCATTTTACTGACCCTATTATACCTTGTAAATCCATGGCTAAATCACTTATTTTTTCTTTTTTTATTATCGTCAAAGTTTGTACTCGTAGAGCAGACTCATGGACAACCCGTGACGTCACGGGTACAAAATGAACGGATTGACCCGCGGGTTAGGTTGACCCGTGCAACGGTCTGGACTCTGTTCGGAAATGGCATAGAAATTTTTCTTTTAAGGTTAACAAGAAAATTATTCCTTGTGTAACAGTGTCGCAATCAGAATTATTTTATACTGTTTCAGTTGGAATGTATTACATTATCATCTCGAATTATACAGAATTTATAGGGTGTGCTACGCTACATCTGTCCTTCGCTAGGTATTCTGTGGCCTTCTAGTTTTGTATATGACATATACAAAGATACTCGAGTATATACGCATATTGTGTACAATTCATAGGGGGACAGACATTCCTACAATCAGCAATTTTTAAAATAGGTTTAAATTTAGCATTTTACAATGACTAAATTCTTAAATATGTAATTGATGTGTCTAAAAGGTAGACCTGGAGGGATTTTTTGTTGATACTCGCCCGAAAATTTATTTATTTTATAGGCAGAGTTCAAAAGTACGGTAATATAAGGAGTTGATGAGTATATTGTAAACATATGCCTTTTTATTCAATTCCTATACATTGAGTATCATTTTAGTCAATTTTTGCAAATATGAAGATGAATATAGGGATTTCCTACCTTGTTTTCAGAATTGCTACCAAATAACTATCGAAATACTTTACATGAATATGCGCTCATTTCTTCAGGGCGGAAATTAGTGATAACAATCAGACGGTAGAAAAAGGAAGGTGTTCTTTTAGAGTGGGTATAAGCGTCAACTCTTCAGCTAGTAGTCCTTGTAATAACAGAGAGAGGAGCAATACAATACAGATATTATGCTTAACAGAGATGGACGCCATAATACTGTTGGGATTAATTTATCGGCTTTATTGAGTAAAATTAAACGGATGACTAAGAAGTTATAAAGTAATGATTCTTCTTCGATGCCAGCAAGAAGCTAATTGATATTGATTCTTAATTCATTAATACCCTGGGTATACTGTAAAATTCATACGATCTTACATGGCTTCATCTATAGTTTATCAGTGTATCTATCTATTGATTTTATAATCAACCAATTGATGGAGGCGTTCAAAGTTCTAAGACGACATAGCGTGAATTAAATATTTGCCTTGACGATGTGTGATAATAATTTTCCAATCACGTTAAGCAAGAATAATGGCACCCTCCTGATTGCGGAAAGCAAATAATATCCAACTTCTGGAATCCCTGTACAGTATTTCGATTGACGTCATGATTATTATAGGATGAACTTCTTATGCGTTATAAGCGTATATTTGAGAATTGAGCATCTTGTAATTATGATTATCATTAGTTCTGGCAAGATCGAATAAAACCGATGCTAATACCAACTGATCTACGAGTCATACTTCACGCTGAATATTGGTCAATTAATTATTAAACGCTATAGGATTTGATATTGAAATTCTAGTATGCGTTGTATGTGTAATCGACTTACAAGGGTGATATTTGGCGATTGAAATCAATCTAATTTAATAAGAGAAGCATCATTTAACATTTGCAATAGCATGTCTGCTATTGCGACATGTATATGTCACGATCCATTCTTCACTCTATGTTAATTAAGGTATGGAGTCATTTGAATTCAAGATTTATGCAAAAGTTTCTATTAGATGAAATGTTGTACTATGCTATGACCGGTGTATAATAATGTACAGTATGATGTCGTATTACCATAATCTGTGGTGTTCGTTAAGATTGCAAATTTGGTGAATGTGATGCCATGCTGGTCTATTATTTTTTTCTTTGCAACTGTAATGCAGCTTGCAGATACGTTTTGAGACTCTGAGCATCTTCAACGTTGGCGAGTATTATGATCGTTGAGTAAGTGTTGTCTGTAGTAGAGCACAGAATAGCAATCATTGATAGTAAAGTCTACTTTGCTCGATGAAGGGAAAGAGCTATTATTAATATTGCAAGATTTTCAATATTTTGAACCAGAAGCAGCCAATTAAGGGTATACATACAGTAGTCATGGACTACTAGAAGAATACCGGTGTTCTTTTAGTAATCGATGACTTAATTTACTTTCTGTATATGGGCAATTGGGCATGGGTATTCCAGTATACGATGGTTAACAATCCCTGAGACCATGACGCAGCAAAGTGATTCAGCAGGACGGACCTTCTTTAAGATTTTCTTTTTAGAAGTCCTTGGTTTCAGACTAAGCAACATCGTGTAGGTATACGTCAGATCGCAGCAGCTGATTCACGAAATACTGTGGTACTGAGAGAACCGCTGGATCTTGCATTTATCTAGAGTCTACAATCTCGTTGTTTTAGGAGAAATGCAGGCGCATTCAACAGTATTTGAGTATTTGATTGCGCTCTAATTTGAATTTTACGCGCTACTAAACACGGTGCTGGGTTATACAATGCCTTCATTTCTTGCCTGATTGCAGCCAGCAGCTTATTAGTGGCATGGACTGCTCGATTTCTTATCCCATCTAGTGATGTGACAATGTTAGATGCAGTAGCTTGCATATTTTCTATGGACGTATTGGAGGACTTCTATTCGTCATGTACGGGCTGCGACAAGTACTGTACGAGACAATGTTCGATCCAGTAGCTTCAGCTTGGGGAAATAGTCTACTCAGTTAACACGTATGCGAAGTATCACGAGCAGAGGGTTCGACTAGTATGGTAATAATATAGTGTGTATATGTTCTACGATATCTTATTCAAAATAGTCCTCTTTCAAGCGGTGCATGCATTCATAGCCCATTAGGTCTCCTTCGAGGGGTCCATGATGCTGTCCAGTATTCTCTCTTCCTTTCGTAGTAACTTAGTAGTCTCCAAGTGGGATTTGCACGATTCTGGCGCGAAAATTCGAAAGGCATGCGCGGTATAACTTTGGCTTGCTAGAACATGAGCTACAGTACTACAGTAGTACGTCTACAGTACATACTGTACCGTACTGTACTGTGCGGTACAGTTGCAAAGGATTCAGAAGGCCATGACCGATCCGGTACAGTACTATATACTGTATCCCTTGTACTATACTGTACACTGTGGACAGTAGTGTCAAGGACTCCCGGAAGCTACAGTGTACAGTGTACAGTACTTGGTATTTCCAGTAGCCTTTGGTATTGTACGGTTTACGTCCAGGTCTCGTAACGCGTTACAACTTGCAAGTGAGTGAATGCAACGTGCTGGTGTTGATGGCAAGAATCTTGATATAGGTACTGTAGCGCGATCTGCCAGGGTACAGTATATGTTGAATACTACTACACGATACAGTACACTCCAGTCTGATTGGTGAATAGAACTGTATTGAAGCTATTTGCCATTTAAGGCACTCAGTGCTTCTTGCATTTCACTTTCCTCTATCACAGACGTTGTTGCAATTTTCTGCCCAAATCAACCTGCATTCACTGTTACTGTTGCTGGTCGCAATTTCGGTAAGTTTCTAGGCTTAGGATTAAAAGCTGATTGAAATACCCTTAAAAAATAACTAGCTCTTTGTACTGGTATGGGGTAGACGTAATGACAGCAAATTGAGAATGGCAAATGTTGTTGTTGAATTGGTGGCAAAATGAGTGCACTTTTGTACACAGTCTGTTGAAAGATCTCATAGTTGTATGTTCTATTTTATGCACTGTACAGCATTAGGCTTGCTTTTATTACACACTTTACAATGTAGAAAGAGTGGCTATGGTAGTCTACATGGATTAAGAGTAAACTAGACAAGTAGAATTACTTTACTCTTTGGTTAAAGTTGGCCAACAGACTATTATGAACAATTAGAAATTGGATAGCAACTCGTCTACGGCGGGAAATACTGTAGGATAGAAGAGAGACGCTTTATCCAGGACTACTATACATTCACTGACATTCAATACTGTACTTGCCCGCGTGGAAGATACAAATGGATTTATACTTTGATATTCTCCTTGACAGTGGAAAAGAGTGAAAGATACAGTTTATGACAGTTGCATCCACTCGGTTATTAGTATTCATGTTACGACATTGTAGTGGTTGCATTCTGTTGGCTGATTATCTATTTCAGTAACATGGATAGGAACTAAAAATACCGTACCAAGAATAGGAAATGCTAAATGACACTTCAAATAATACACTATGCTATTCCGCAAACTTCAGCATTACTACCATGCATGGCATGGCAATGCTGCTTATTCTGTATTGATTGTAGATAAAATGGAACTTTGAAATAGTTCAAATTAATTTTCATTTGTTCATTCTTTTCTCAAGCTATGTGAGTATAGTATATTACTGTAATGGACAGTGATTCGTTTTTGGTATTCTAAATACTGTACGAGTAAGAGGAAATGCTAAATGATACCTTCAAATGATATACGTAATATATCATTCCACAAGTTATAGTATGGTTACCATGCGTTACAATGTTACCTAGTCTGTCTTGATCGTAGATAAATAGAACACTGAGATAGTTCGAATTATTTTTTTAGTTGCTAATTCTCTCCATACGCAACGCTCGTACGTTACTGTAATGAATAGTGATTTTTTACAATTCATGTTCCATAGATATCCATTGACCACCACCACCACCACCTCAGTTCTCCATGCCTACTTTACGTAAAAGGAAAAGTACTTCACCGGGCAATCCTGCCGCTAATAAAGGAAGGCAGTCTAAAACGCGGGTAAGTGTTGTATAATTTTTATAATTTTCAATATTATCTTAAATCTTTTTTACAGGATATTCATATTCTTATTGTAAAATAGTCGATTTTACCAACATGGCATATTTCTATAGTAAAGTCAATTTTTACCCTATATTGGTTAGATACGAATACTGCATATCTTTATAGTTGTTTACTACATCTTAAGTCGATATAAGGACTCATCTTTTCACTATACTCTAATTTAAATATGTCTCCATGCTGGACAAGACAATTTATAATATGCAATGTTTACGTTTGGAGTTCAGTAAAATGATACTCAATAAGTTCTTTCTTGTAACTAATGTCGGCATGGATATACTACCATTTGAATTGATTTACGTATTTATCAAATATAAATTAGTTAGTGCTAGTTGACAGAAAGATCATTTAATATGAATTGATGAAGCCGTTGCTTCTATTTATTACCCAATATTTAGACTCCAAAACGAAGGAAGGTTACCAAGACCAATTTTTTTGTAGATGGCGATGTTGATGAGAATGAGAGAGTAACCGCATCTGAAGATGAGATAAAGTAATTAAGTTTTTTATATGAAAAAGTCTCTTTTTAATTGATTAATCAATTGATTGTACTTCTTATACGAGTAAATATATATTTTACTACAGGCCTGTTGACACATATTGAAAGTCTTAATATTTGTAGTGCTGCAGAAGATTTATTAACGTTACCTATATATCTACTCATTATATACGTGTATATGTGCTGATTTATGCTATAGACAATGGATAGATTCATTAAATACTCCGGCATAAAAGAGTCATAGTTACACCAAACATTTCTAGTATTTGTTGCTTAGTTGTAGCCTACTACTGATTGAATGTATTGCACTTTATTGCTAGTTTAAAATTCAACGAGAAAGGCACTTGGTTATAATTGTAGTCATTTGTTATAGATTTAAGTGAAGGATTACCCACCAGCTCTGAAATTTACCATAGCGGCAATAATACAGTAATATGAGGGTGAAACGATGTGATGATATTCTATTCTATTAATTAACGTCGTATGTATGTTGTAGGTGCCTCACAATAGCTTTCTTAGTCGAAGTAATAAATTGACTTTTTGTTAATATGTTAATAATTAAGTGGGTAAAGATTAATTTTGATAGCAAATTTAGGTAGATTAAATCAGTACTAGAGTGAATAAAAAAACATTAGACTTAAGAGTTGATAGAAAATGTTATGATAGCTAAAGCATCAATTCTGTATTAGTGACGAAGAATATACGCCTGCATCGCAGAAAAAGGGAAAAAACAATCGTGCTAAAAATTTGACAAGTCCGCGTAAAAGAAGTGTAAGGACATAAAAACGATAAATTCTATATGCTGATATGATATCAAATAATGTATGCTTGTTATGGTATAGCAATGATTAAACATTTAATTCCTGTTAATAATTTCACAAATTCATTCATCTAATTATAATTATCATCGAACCTTGATATTGTAGCTTAATAAGACAGAAGATAGTACACCTGTTGCGAAACGTAAAAGACGTAGTACTGCCAAAAAAGTATTAAATGTAGAACATGATGCTAGTATATTTGCGGCCGTATTAAGTGGACAAGCTATGCAGGTGCATATCAAATCATGGAATTTGATGCTTGGTTATTAAACGTGATAACAACGTAAAAAAATTGTAAATTTTTCCTAGATGACCATCGATGATTGGATAACTCATTACAATCAAAATAATAAAAAAGGACTGATAGAGCTTGTTCAATTTATTGTTCATTGCTGTGGCTGTAAAGGTAGGTGTTTACGATAATTAAAAATGATAAATATATTGCTTTAGGACATACTTACGCGCTTTACCATTATCATCTATCGTAACACTATATCGTGGTGAATTTATCACAGAGAACATAACTAAACCACAATGTCATTTGAAGTGATTTGCAGGACTCTGCATTGTATATGTGCATTACTTAATTTTTCTTATATTGTACCATTGCAGGCGTTGTTACGGAAGAAATGTTGAAAGAGTCCGAAAATATCAAGTCTATTCAAGAATTAACTTTAAAATTTGATGAGGTCTGCTTTCAGATTACTGGGAATACATTAACCGTGAAGTGGCGTACCAATTTGTCATTCAATGCTACGCTGTTCATAAGTTAATTACTTGGTAATAATATAATATTTAACTTTAATTGCAGGATAGCAATGAATATCCTATTATCATGACCGGACCTAAATATAAGAAACTGAAGGTAACGTTTCCTTCGCATGGCTTGCTTGTATTGCGGCTTTGAATTAAAAGTAATTTTCATGAGTTTAATAATCTTTTTTAAATCGATTTTGGTTGTAGGGATACTTGCGCGATTTTATTGTCCAATTTGTAGCTGCTTGTCAGAATGATATTATCTATGATGATGATGTCATGGTTGTTGTTGTATCATGGCTTATAAGACTTGCTGATTCTCAAGTTAGGGCTTTTAGGCACACGAGCACATTCCTAGGTGATGTCAAAATTGTCAAGATGCCTTCGGCTATCATTGTCAATTTTATAATTTTATATTTTATATCTGCGCTATTTATAGGGATGCACCTTGGGAATGGATTAATTACCGTCATTACAACTGTCAAACGAGAATTGGAAGTTAGCCAGGTATTTTTGAGCTGAAGCATTCCGATTAGTATACTCATCTTACTTATATTCTCGTAATTTTAAAAGAACATGCGCAAGTAATAGATAACAGGATCATTTACATTACAGCATCAGCTACAAAATGAAAAAAGAAAGTCAAGCTCTAAAAAAGGCCGTGACAAGATAGATACATTAACTGCGAAATGTGATCGGGTATAATCCCTTTTATCTCATTTGTTGGAGTGTCACATGTTACAACAGGCCTCGTTTATTCATCTACTCTTAGCTTAAAGAGAATGTTTCCTTTCTTGAAAATTTGTTAAAGAATATTCTTACTGGTGTCTTCGTTCATCGTTATAGGTAATCTTAATCCTATTAGTTAATGTTGTAAGAGTATTTCTTAATTTAAATTACTTTTTATTATAGAGATATAAATCCTCAGATTAGGACGTTGTGCATAGAACAGTTAGGAAATTGGATTAGATATTATAGGTATACCTGAATGTCTGTAATTGATTTTTTCGATTGTGATTAAGATTACACGGTGTATGATTACTGGCGATAGCTGTTACAAAACTTATGATGTTTCTTCATATCTTCAGTCCACTTTTTTTGAATGATAACTGTATGAAATATATCGGGTGGACATTGAACGATAAGGTATAGTAGAAACGCTGGGTATGATTTAGTTTGCTATAAACTTACAGTTACCTTACTTCGTTAATAGTGTATTAATTTATGATGTCCACAAATTACTTAATTTTTTGATATAGGTCAGTTCAGTTCGCATTGCTGCGGTCAAAGTATTACAGGAACTGTACTCTGTTGCGAATTTCTCTTCTCAATTGAATATCTTCACTAAAAGATTTTGCGTAAGTGAGATTAATTATTCCATTTATACTTATAACTATTATACAGTAATTATACTTAACTTTGCTATCTTAGGAACGAATGATCATTATGACGTCCGATAAAGAATGTGATGTTTGCGTAGAAAGTATAAAATTAATGACCATATTATTGAGGTAGACATTGACTCGGCAGTTTTGCTTTCATTCCCTAGTATTTATTTTAATTTTTCTATCTACCTGTACTCCGGTTTATTCCAAAGATACGAAGATATTTTAGATGATGTTGCTTGCGCTCAAGTCTATCGGCTTGTATTTTGTTCCAACCCGAACATTAGTCATGCTGCTGGAGAATTTCTTAGTACTTGGTTGTTTTCTGGTGACAATGATACGGAAAAAGATGATGGTGTTTCTACCGGTAGTAACAAATATAAGATAAATATGATTTTTACGATGGGTGATTAATTTGCAAATCATTTTAAGATTTAATGAAAAAGAAAGCCAAGATACGCATGATGAAAGATTTGATCCGATTCTTTATCGATACGGAAGTAAGTCGTTACCAGCTATTATATTATACAATTCATATTTGTCTCGCTTTTACTTGGTGTCGCATGTTACAGTTATATTTTTTTGCAGGTACATGAATTAGCGGACTATCTAGTTGATAGCTTATGGAATTCCACAGAATTACTTAAGGTAAGAAAACAAAGGTAAATTAAAACCATGCTTTAAATATTATTTCCATGATTCTAACTTTGGATATCTGATGTTCCTCAATTAAACGTTCCTAGGATTGGGAAATAATGACTGGAATGCTTTTAGGTCAACACTTAAAGGAAGATGAAGAACCATTAGATGATGAGGAAGAATTTAGACTTATCAAGATCATGTGCTGTGCTATTAAGCAAGGTTCTGTTGGTCATGGGCCACCTGGTAGGCAGATGGGGAAAAAGGTACTATTGTAACAGATCTATGAAGACTAGCTATTGAATGCAAGTAAGCCTTTAGTAGCTAATCCAGTTTTTACTTAGGGATTTATCTCTAGCAAAGAGAAAAGGGCCCAGCGATCACTCAAAGATGGGATTAGTACACATTTTTCCTTTATATTGCCGAAACTTCTCGCTAAGGTATAATCTATAGTGATCATTACATGTGATATTTCTAGTTATTTCTTGTCGCAATACTAAAGTATATCAAATGATCTGCAGTTTTCTGCGGAAAGAGAAAAGATAGGATTTCTTGTAGAAATACCCCAATATATGGACTTAGATGCGTATGGAGAAATGGAGCTTCAAAACGTATGCGTTAAATTTAAGTAACTTCGTTTAAATGAAGTAAGTTTAAATTATGCAATAACGTATTTCCATCCGGCGTGAAATTTATATTATATCCAGGTTTTGGAAGCGTTGCTAAAACAAATAGAAGGAATTCTAGACAAACATACGGATATGGAGGTGTGTACGTGATATATATCAGTAGATGACGGTTACAAAATGATATATTCTCAGTGATCAATATCTATTTGCGTATTAGGTGCTTGATGTATGCGCCAAGACGTTACGTTGTTTGTTAGGCGAAGAATCTAATGTTAAAACAGCTGTGGTTTGTATTATCGTTAAATAAGCAATACTATTGATAGATTGGTATTTGTTAACATAGTTAATATGCTCGTAAAGGGTTAGAAGATCTGTAAAATCAACGGATACACCAATTTCTTAGTAGCGTGCTGTTTTATTAATTTTTTGTTATTAGGAAGTTACTCGTCACAAAATTATGGACAGGGTTACAGATGAATTTAAGGAAATATTCGGAGGCACTGGAGGAAAAGAAGCTATCAATGATAATGTTGAGAGGGTAAATCTCAATCTCATTATATTAAGACGTCATGGGTGTAGCTTTCTCCTCAATTTGTAATCCTGATGATTCTCTACATTTTTTAGGCGTTGTCAGAATGTGACCATGATACGGAAATAAATATGCTAACGTACTTAAGAAAAATCATAGTTATGCACAAGTACGTGTTAATCATTATTCAAAGGTTATTATTTTAAGAAATTTTGTACTTTCTTTAATATGTTGATGTGCATTTTGTAGAGAATTTAATATAAAGGCATGGGAGTGCATACCATATTTTAACGCGGTCGTAGATTACGGGCTTAGAAAATCGATTAACGATGAGGTCAGTATGAACTAAGTAGTTTCGTTATCCCTTAATTAAAGTATTCTAACTATTTTCTCTTGTTTATTTGAATTAATGCATTGTCAACACTATCGTAGATGTTATGCCTAGCAATGTCAGGCGTTCAACTAAGTCTTGCTTGGGAATTCTCGGATGACGAAGCTGAAGGTGGACAGGTACATTTTGTAGGCTGATGAGAATATCTATTGATTCAAGTAGTTGTCACTGTCATCAGTAATTTAGTAATCTTAATTTTATTTCATTAACCATTAACGATGGACAATTAAAAATTAACGTTTAAGTCAATTACCATAGTTGAAAACAGGTCCTTTATTGGAGAACTTTAACCATTTGCTGAGAATGTGTGACGAATTAATGCAATTTGGTAATTCCATTGTTCAGAAAAAGGTAAAATTCAGATTGATTATGAAAAAATAAAATTGGTTGAAACTTAAAATAATTTTTTTCGTTTTAGGTATTTTGTATTCTTTGCGACACTCTTATGATGGTATCCAAGCCTTTAATGGAGTCAGGTACGAATAATATGAAAGTGACATTGTCCTGTAATATTAGTTATGCCTAACAAATTCGGTACGATATTTATTTTCTATTACAATGAACTGAAATAGATCCTGCCACCATACTTGCTTATGAAACTGATCGAAGCATTCAGATTCGTTGTAGAGACTTTATTGTGTCATGTGTTTTCGATGTTGATGAAGATTTTGATTTGGAATCTCGCAAAGACGGTAAAATTGATGTCGTATCGTTTGCATCCATCATTAGCGACTTGGTAAAGTTTCAAATTTCTGTGTAGATGTACCAGACAGCGACTATGAAATGTTTTGTGAAAAACGAAATTTATTAGCGGCATTTTGTAAATTAATTGTATACAAAATATTTGACACCGAATTGGCTGCACCAGTCTTCGCTAATTATTTGAAGGTAACTTCATCATGATGGAAATATTTCATACGTGAAAACGGAAGTAATATACGAAGTTTTTTCTTAGTTATTAACTGATAATCGATACTCTGTTAATTTGGGGAAATTCTTCCTCTGTTAATTTACGCCAGAGATTTAAAGATTTTGGAGATATTATTAAGTATGTCATGACGAAAGTAAGGCAAAGTAATCTGTCCGCATATACAACGACGATCCTTTTAAGTCTTCAGCAAGTGAGTTTAGCGTCTATGAATTACATTGTCAAGATATTTATTGGCTATAAACGTTGCAAATATTTTAATTAACAGGCTTTTGAAAGTGTTAAATTTGAAAATTTGGCAAGTCCTTCATCCGTCTTGAAAGATATTGAGCCGTTAAAGGTATTTACTCGTAAATGAATATTTATATCCTAGTTTCATTTCTATTTAACAAATTTTTGAACATCGTAGGAGTTAGCACGACGCTTCGGTTTAACGTTTGGAGTAGAATCTCTCAAGAGCCAGTCAACCAGACAAAATCTCATTAATTTACATAGGTAAAACCGAAATGATTTTTGGTTATTGAATAGTGGTTGTTTTAACTATCAACACTTTTTGACATCTTTTTTTATTGGTTAGGGATGGAATCAAATATGCCCTTGAAAAATCCGACGATGTCCCTACATATCCTCGCTTGCCTTTCTTAGTTATTTTAAACGAATTTTCGTGCAGATTGTTAGATGTTGATAAAAGCAGTAAAACGGCAGGAGTGTTAGTATAAGCATCCTAAAAGTATTGTTTTTCTTTTATATCTATTGGTCAGGCGATCACCAGATGTAGCGATTATTGATGTAATAACATCCCTCACTATTAGGCTGCCTTTTTTGGAAGATTTATTACCTAGTGAACTGAAATCGAATATGAGAAATGAAGAGTTATACCCTCTTCGGATATACTTTGAAGGTTTAAAAGGTGAGAAAAACAATGCAGAAGAAGCGGCTGATATTGAAGATGACAAAGACGACAAAGCAGATAGTGAACCCGTAGAAGGTAATTTTGAATATAATTGCTCTCGGGAATTGAGTAAATGAGTCTAGGTCAGTCATGTGCTGAAGTGTTACATTCTACCTACAGAGCCTCAGGAAGACGAATGGCTGAGCAAAGATAAGGCGGTAAAAGAGCAGAAGGGGAAAAGAAAATCGAAAGGACGACGTTCCATGAGGTCATCCGGCCGTACAGCTGCTAGACAGTCAAATGTAATAACCACATCTAATATTGCATTCCTTTATAGATTAAAGTTGATAGAGAACTTTTATGATATTGCAATTAGAATTCTATAAACAACAGTAACGATACCACAAGTAAAGACAGATCAATGGATGTTGAGGACAGCCAAAAAGGTGCTAAAGTAAAGAAAGGTAAAGAAGTTAAGACAAAAGATAATAGCGGTAAGCATGATGAAAGCGAAATTGCTGAATCAATTAGCAAGGAAGCTGTCGAGAGTGAAAGTTCAGATAGCGAGTAAGTAGATTATGACATTACAGCGAAATACTAAAGGAATAATATGAACAGATTATGCTATGATTTTGCTTACGTGATATTTCTTATAAATACCACACTTGAATGCTAACACTTCTTTATCATGATCCTTAGATCTGATTATATTGACGCTCCTGATTCTCAAGAATCTTGGCTAGCTAGCCAACCAAAAGAGAAAAAATCGAGTCGGAAAATACGCTACAATTATAGCAAGTTGATGGAAAAGGCTTAAGGCATAAATTTCTGTAAAAAGTGCAATATATGTCATTCGACGTCGTGCTAATAACTAATTATCTAGATTAAAATCTTAAAACTGCTACTAGCTATAAACACGATTTCGTATTATCGTTAAATTCCTAATCTATCATTTTCTTATATTCTGATTAGAATTTCAGTTGTAATTTTGTTCCCGACGAAATTGTTGCGTTATTATAAGTCACTCTTCTTGGCGTTGTTGAAATCTGTGTTAAAATTTTCCTTAGCTGTACATACTGTTTAAGCCTTTTAAACTGTGATTAACATTCCTTGTATAATAGCGTAATGATTCATTAATGATCTACGAACAAAACACCTAAAATAGCTTACTTAACAAATATAACTTGCTACACGAAATTTTTCGATAATTTTTACTTTAAGTTTTGTGTAGTGAACGCGGAGAATATGGTAGATAGACGTTACAAACGTTTTGCGTTTTTCTATTTCTTTTATTGTCATTTCAGTATACGATATTCAATTCTTTCCCTGCGTAATACTAAATGTACAACTGGTTTTACCTTTTGTTTGATGTAACCGCATTTTAGGTACTTTTATACACTTTTTTTTGAATAATATACAATATACAAAGGTAGCGTTACTGCACTTTTGCTGTGTTCGCATCAAAATATCATACATCTTTCGGATTTTTACGCTGCCACATGCATTTCGATAGTTGTAGGTATATTGATAATACGCGAAGAACAAATGCGATCAGGCAGTACAAGAATTTACATTTCAGTTCAACCTTACAACAGTGTGTCATCTTTACCACACCCCGCAATAAATTGTTTTGCTGACATAATTTTTCAGTCGTGATATTGACATCAATGCAAGTTACCGCGATCATCAAACTGATTTACATCATTGGAGTGTTGAATTTGTATATACGTATGTACACAGTGCTAAGCATCACTATAGTTATGCCAACTTGGGTTAAAGAAATGTTATAGAAAAGTATACGCGTACATCACACGAGTATTTTATCACAACTCAAATTTCACCAATATGATGCAGTATCCTGAAATTATGAAGCTGCAGCTTCCATTTGTGGCTTATTCACAGAATTACAAAGTTACCGAGTGTTCTCAAACCTATTGGAGAAATTGAAATTAGCGCGCGTTCATATTTCCGAACTAAAATATAGCCGGGGTACGTAAAAATGGCTATTATTTATCAGAGGATGTGATAAAAGCAAATGCTTGTCCATATAAAGTGGAGTAAAAGTCAAAATGAGAGTTTTTGATACTGCGATGGCATTCAGCGATTATAGATATCAAGGCTTTAATTTAGAGATCCGAAGTAAGATTTGTAATTTTTTAATAGGTAGTACGTTTATTTAAAATAAGCGACAATTGTTAATTACCCTGGGAGATTGTGATGAAATAATCTGATGCTTTTGCTTAAATAGAGCTAACTTTGATCTGGGCGCTTATAATTACAATTGCTACCGTTCGTGTATCCGACACTGTTAATTAATATTTACGAAATCACAACATTGTACTATATAATACCGCAAAATGAATGCTACTACAAGGTACAGCATTTGCGATAATTGATTGCAAAGAGCGCCATCTACAGTTTAGAAGTGTTGGCATTGAATACTATGAAGATATTTATGTATGTATAAAGCATATATAAATGAATTCGTCGTATTGTGCAAAGCAGCTATTGCAATACAGTTGTACAGGTGAGTTTAAAAATAATAAATGCAGCTACACAGTAACTAACATGGTCATGAACACTACTGTCTTGGTGGTCTGCCAACGGAAATAATTCTGTAGCAGTAACCTCAATTTGGTTTTAGCTAGCAGAACTATTATATACTATACTATAATTAAAATATGAAATTATCCATTTTAAAATCTCATATAACCATAGTTATAACAATAATAATATAAAGATCTGATTAATAATAAAATCGTTCATCTGCTAATTCTGCAAGCTTCGCACGAGTTTATTTAGTTTTACGGGTTGAAAAGAAAACTAGAATAAAAAATGACAACTCATTTAATTATTTAACACGCTCAACTACAGTCTTTCATTGGCTTCGTTGTAGATCTGCTAGAGCAGTAAATTAAGCTGCGACGAGCTTACATAACTATCATACAGACACACAAATAGCTTTTCTCCTTACGTGACGTAAAATTGAATAAGTACAGTATGAGTTGGTAATATCCTGATGGTACTTGTTAGCACCATTAATAAAATGTAGTAGTCGAATATTATAGTTGAATTTCTGAAAACGTATTGTATGTTGGCAACTTGTTACATACTGCAGTAATTTCTTTACAGATAATCAGGCTACCAAGTAGCAAGGTTGCTACTTTTATTTATTTAGCAGTTTCACTCTGACTGCTTGCTGCTGCCTTCATCTTCTGTTCTTTCTGTTTTTGGGCTATTTTCCAGCGGTTGGCATTAACAAAGTAAGTCTGATAGAAGAAATGAGCGAAAAGGAGGAAATACGATGAATACATAATAAGGGACCATCTAAGGTTAGACCATGTAGTACCACAGCGTTGACCAGATTTCAAGACAGTGTATGCCCATGTGTTAACTATACAACCGACAATCATCTGAGAAAGTTGTAGAGTGGTAATTGCCATATTGATCCATTTGGGAGGTCGGTACATTCCGGTCGATTTAATGGCATAATAGGTGTACATTACCGTATGAACAAGAAAGTTGATAGCAGCAAACCAACGGCCTGGTGCGATAAGGTCTCTTAGACTATACCAACAATATATAAAAACAGTGATATGATGGTAATAATGGAGAAATGGTAGAGGTGTTTTGCGCACTACAATAAAGAAGGTGTCGCCTAATTCTGGCAATTTTGACAAACCAAATAGAAACGCCCATAATCCTCCACTTCCTTTCCAACTAGTGCGATCACAAACCGAGTAGGTAAAACCATGATAATACCAACTAGAAAGTACATAAGAACCAAGAGCGATTGTACCGATAAAGCTAAAACCTGCCAATGTTAAACTCCAGGTAAATAATAAGCGGCGCATGTTGAATGGCTTCCTTGAAGCCATGTACTGCTTACCCCAGTATATCAATACGAGGTACAAAACAGAGATATGAACAGAATACGGTGCTAGGACATTCATCCAATCAGCTGCGATTTTTTCATTGAAATAATTCTCAACAGACAATATCGCCATCTTTAATATTAATTAATTTTGATTTTTATTACAGGTAATGAAAAACGGTAAAATGATGTAAGGGTAAATGGGAATTCTTTAAGCTTGACAGTCAGGCGTTGTACTAGAATATAGTAAGAAAAGGAACATCATAAAGTTTGATATAACAATCCATATTTAACTTTCAATATCGAGTAAGCATTTTGAAGTATTGGAATGAATTCATACAGTATATACAATTTGACTGATTTTCCTCAATGAGTACCATATGTACAAATGTGCTCTATGCTGCTTGCTAATTATAATCCAAGTTTGATGCAATAAAATAAAGTGCATTACTACGATCACTTGAACAATAGCGCGACATGTACACGTACAGTACAGTACAGTACACTGAATTGTAGAAAAAAAAATTTGTTGAAATCTAAAACATTTCGATTATTCCCGTGTACGAAGGTCTACAGTAGTACTTAATATTTAATTACCCACTAATTGCTTTACTTCGATGGAAGTTTAGCTTCAAGTTATACGGCGCTCAAATCGCTGATGAAATGTAAATAATTTAAAGTAAAATTTTGATGACGGATCCAGGTGCTCGAAGCCAAGAGCAATCTGTGCAGTGTGTGTGATGAGTTTTTTACAGTTTTTATTTCACCTTTGAATAGCAAAACCATATACAGTACTGTACTGTACAGCCAGTAAAAAAGTTTCGCTATTTAAGATTAATAACAGTGTTGATAAGAATGATTTTACTACCGTGTTAATGTAGTAAGACGAAGTACACTGCATCCTACATTACTGTCATTGATGGAAATATCTTTGTACGACGTGATCCGATCCATTCGATATTTCAATTTTTGCATCAATTTGTACAAAATGGATGGCAAATGCATGGTTTTAAGCTAATATATCTGTATAGAAAGGTTGATGACGATTGGTCTATTTTGAAGCGTTTTTACTTCTAATTTTTCCTATTCAAACAATCTTGAAGAAAACGGATCACACTTGTACAGGAAAGTAAAGCGTTGTATACTGATTTGTTGATATATCGATCATTTAGGTGAGCAATGCGTAAATCTCAAATTTAGTAAATACAGTGTAGAGGCTTTCGGCTTGACTACGTTGTTCCGAGCATTGAGCACATTTCACTAAACCTTGTACAGTATCATGATAAAAAAGAAGATCGCAACCGTTAAATACAAGCATTGGAACGCCGCTCTTATTTTGTTTGAGTTTGCATACTGTATCACCTAACGATCATACTACTACAGTATACTACGGTCCAGTATGTCCGCTATTTTTCAGCGTATAAATTAGCGGACATTTAACACTTTCTTTGCTATTTTTGAACAAAAATACACATCAATCGATATTGCGGCCATACTGTAGAGTACGATTACTTTACTCGTTATTATTAGTCTTGATATCTTGTCTTTGAATTACACTGCATTAACGGTACAGAATTGCCACCGTCAACAAAAGTAGAGTCAAATTTTACATCCTGTACGCAGATCGCTCTCCTTGGTGGCCATTTTAATCCTCACGCCCAGTTGTGGAGTCGATTGGCAACAGGTCAGTCATCTTTGAACTTCTACACTTGCACCAAAGGATGCTGGGCTACATGGTGAGTCGTAGTGAGCACGACACGGTTTGTTTGACACTATCGCCCTATCGACAGCAGAGTTTTCTACGGTACGGTACAGTAACGGTAGCGTACTGTATACTGTAGGGTCTAGCAGAGCGGACTGTATGGGGAGAGAGAGAGAGCGCGTGGGAAAATATGGATGGAGACCGGGGGTTGTTTGACCCATAAGGTAACAAGGGTTAACAGAAATCATTTAAAACAAGTTGAGAAATGCCTCAAAAGATATCATGATCAAGGATGATTATCAATAATGTCCAAATTTACCTTATGACGCGGAATAAAAGGATAGAAATACTACTGGTTGCTGATGTTGAATCGATTGATCCTATCAAGAGCGCTATCGAGGTATCTTGCAGCAAGAGTGATCCACGATTGAAAGTGCGATATCAAATGGTATAAATCTTCGATTTCCTTTAAGAATGATAGTGGAAAGATTGCAAGTCAGTGTAGCAGTGGATTTTAACATGAAACATGGATAGTTTTGTTCAAATTTGAATTGTGTATGACTTGAATAAGAAACAGTGTGATATTAGTCAAAGCAATCAGTAAAGAAACTCACTTGTGTGCTGGCAGATTGGCAATCTGTCGACTGTCGCTTTAAACCAAAACCTCCGTATATAATCTACCGCCCCTCTGTACTTTGCTACTGTGTATACTACTGTATACTAACACAACTTGACCTGGTAACAACGAACAAAAGACCCTCGACTGCCCTGTGTACTGTAAAGAGAATACAGTACAGTACTGTACTGTACAGCAATACTTTACAGTACTATACTGTACTATACAGTGTACAGTACAGTACAAGCTATCGTCAGTGAAAAGCTGCCCGATAAGGATTGTCAAACGGTTTTGGGAGCGGCTACAGTCGGTAGTGGGCGGTGACCTAACATTAGTACAGTACTGTACAGTACAGTATTGGTGCTGTAATCATCGAGGTTCTTTCCTTCATGACTATTGTGATTCAGGTAGACTTGGTGGAATTAATGGCCGTAACAGTTATTACAGTAAGACATCTACGGTGTGTAAAACTTTTCAAATTATTTATTTATTTAGTCATCTTTAAATAGTACTACTACTAAAAGGCTTCCAATGATAGCACAGTACTGTACAGGCCGCAGCAGAGACAATACTGCTGGATAGCGTTGACTACGATAAAAAGTGAAAATCAACCATACTGACACATGATAATCCAGTAGAACGTACAGTATTATGTAATACAACGACATTCATCTATGCAGTGTACACAGCTGCTACATGATTTACAGTACTCTATGGACAGTGATTGGCACAATAATGTGCATTAAAGTACAGTATTAGTAATCCATTTTGAGGAGAAATTTCTTCAATTTTCTGGAGATAGAACTCCAGGAAATAGTAAATACTGTATGTACATAAATGCTTGAAGCACGATCGCTTCTATTGATTGAAGATGACGCGCTAGTCTACGGAATTCTTTTGTTTATTCTAAATATACAGCAATTACAGCAATTGTCAACTGTCGGTATCTTACGATTGTGTGATTGGTTTATCTTCCGACTGTAAAACTGCTGATTGGCCACAGCAACATCATCTGAACATGTCTGACCTCGAATGACTAAAGGTCAGGTGGATGAGATATTTCTCCTGCTGTACCGTACACGGTACAGTACGTGACCACTTAGTCTCTCTCTGTTGAGGTATTCCATAGTTCATAAGCTGTGACCACATACAGTACTGTATGAGTCGAACTATGGCTGGGATTACAGTATGCACTTTTTACTACAGTACAGTACTGTTAGACCTGACTGTACTGTACCAGTACGGCACGGCGTGTCACATGGTATCATATGAAAATGCGGACGGACAGAAGATGAACGCAGGTCTGACATCTGCGAAAGATGACCTCACACATTGGAAAAGTGAATCGCCTCTTCATTTAATAGAAAGGGTGAATATCGTCGATTGAACATTGTCGGTAAATAACGAAACTAAGCACAGCAATAACCTGCAATACTAATATTGCAGCGAAAGGTGCAAGGAAAGCAACCTTCAGTTTACACTTAATTATACTATACTGTATTTGTAATGTTAGTTTAGATTGATTCATTCTTGAAAAGTACAGTACTGTACAGTGTAATACTGTACAGCGTGTCGAAAACGAAATGCTGAAACGATCAACACGATGCGGAGATGATACAGGATCAGAATAGACTTTATTACCATCGGGTACAACAACGGGAGGGATTGAGATGGAAATCATAGAATAGTGACGAGTTACAACTAAAAGCAGTTACACCTGATCGCGCTTGGGTTCAAGTCTGAAACCTTTTGCGATTAGCTTTATTGCAGTTACTATCAAACGCAAAGCACCGGTATTACAGTGCTTCGTATTTCCCTTGTTGACAAATATTCTACTTTTACATAGAATGTTACATATCACATCCCCCTTCTTAACACAAATTATAGCTAACAGATACAGTACTTTTGCTCTACATCAATTAAGACAGCCTTAACATATCTGAGCTACATGAACTTAAACTTTATCAATCTCTCGGGTCTTCTACAGTCTCAGAATGATCTTTCTGAGTCTATTAGCCTTGCGAGTTCGAGCATACACTGTAGAACTAGTGGAGCACGCGTTCATCATACTGTATTTTGTGCATTGTCAAGCAATAGTTGTACCTTTTGCTTACCTATTACAATATTATTACTGTTACAAGTTACAATATGCCACATATAGCTTCCATAGTTTTTACCGGTAAACTAAAATTCAATGTGGTAAGTAAAGTCAGTCAAGATTCATCAATTAATTTCATCAGACAATCAGCAATAATCCCTATACACAGTATGCGTGTATACTGTAAAAGTAGCAGGACAGCCATTATGAACACCTAAAATCATCTATGTGGAATATCTATCACTGTTATCACTAAACAAGACACATTTTCTTAACTACGTACGTATATACAGTATTTCTTATTCGATTTTATTTACGCAATTCTCGACGAAACTGACTTCTAGATCGCCCTTAAGTCCTCTTTTGTATAGATTAATTAATTTTAATTTATAATTAGTTATACATAGTTACATACTGTACTAGTTATAAGTACAATACAATTTGGTCCAATAGTAAAGCAAATGCACAATATTCCATTGTGAGTATTTGAGATGAGTTTAATTAAATGATTAATATACCACTTCTCCAACTGAGCATCTATATGTAACATCTAATTATTCCCAGCAAAATTCACTTCTCACATGAAATACTGATCAGAAATATCAATAAAATACAAAACGTCTTCATCGCTTAATAGCAAAGGCCACACCAGCAGCAACGGCGATTATGCCTCCAACTATAGCGATACCTTTTAATCCATCTAAATATGATATTGAAAGAAATAAGGTCACACTAGATACTATACAGACTATAATACAGTTCGTATAATAAAAATTAATGCGATTGCAGTTGTGGAATTACCATGATACTGCAGCTATTTGTTCGAGTATCTGAATGAATCGTCCATTTAAAAACTACGTATAATAATGATTGATTGATTTATGTATCCCATATCAGCTAATGCGTTAGGCGCAACTGTAATCATGGATTTTGCGACAGACCTTACAATGGTTAAGCTAAACATCGTGAATATCAGTGAATACGGGGTAAGTATTGCAAGTGATGAGACATGAATTAACTAAGTTTTCCACTACTGCAGAATAATGATGTAATGTTTGTATAGATACACTACGGTATATTTTTTATATATAATAATTGAGATTAATAATTCTATTTCTATATCTTCAGAAAATTAACGTAAAGCAAAAATACTAATGCATTATAGACTGAAATATCAATTAATTATCGATTTAGACTACGAAAAAAGTTTATGATATGCTATCTGCAATACTGAAATCTGACATTATCGATGTTTACGATTGCATACTGAATATAGTCGAAAACCATATGATAATAATATGTAATTAATCCCCCATCTATGATATCATACTGCATGTACATATTTTAAATTAGTTGATAGAGAACAAGGATCGTATACTTTTAATTATGTATCGCTAATGTAGTCGTATCGTAATGCCATCCAACGAAAGTACAGTACTTCGATAGTGTTGCAGCTAGCTGTCGGTTTAGCAAGTAATAATGCAGTGCTTTTTCTAGGCTATAGTGAATTGTTGATAGTAATATATTATTAAATGTACTATATCATCACAGTACCAGCTACAACGATGGAAAAGTAAATAAATGACAGATTATGGTGAAAGATAAAAGAACCTCTTTAAATCTGTGTCTACTATAAAATATGAAGGTAAGATTTGTATTAGTGTTATTTATCTTTTTCCCTAATCATCCACTAATAAATGGTACTATTTCGACAACAGGATAATAATGTACTATAATTGCAATTGCATTATACTGTAGAATATGTGCTAACATAGAATGTTTTACACTTCCATTACTTATAGCGTTACCTATTTGCATATTTTTCATGATAAGCTGTTTTAATCTGTTTCCCTGATTATTAGACGGTTCTATGGCAAGAACGCGTTCAATGTACTTTAGAGCATAATTGTAGTCCTAGAAAGTAAAAGAAAGTGAGTTGTTAAATGAATAATCTATTTAAAATGTTTGCCAACGACCAGCCGGCATCTTTCGTAATTAGACTCTTTTTATGTACCTTTAATTTAAAATGGCCAACAGCTAATAAATATAAATAGTCTCTCTGATCCTCTCCACTGTAGCACAGTTCTAAGTAATAATAAGTAAATATAAAAAGACTATCGTTAGATATTTAACGCAAAATCATAGTACATATCGGTAAGCACTCTAAGTATTGTACTACTGTGTTTCTTGACACAACAATATCAAGTATTGGGTGCTGTACTGTGCTCGTTGTAACGCTAGTACGAGTAGAAATTCGAATCGATTCTAGCGGACTTAGATTATGAATTAGCTATTATATACAGCACATATAACTGCATACCGTATATATATATACAATGACAGTAAGGCATGTAAGTAATAAAATGAAATAAGACAAAATGAGTGTATTATTTTGAGTTCACCTTCAATAAGAGATATGCCCTTCTTGACTTGTTCATTGGCTCTACTAAAAATCAATCCATACGCGTAGTTAAAAGTAGCCTTGCTGCCGCAATCGTCCGCTGTTACTTCATTTAGATACGCCTGTTTCAGTTCCTTTAATAATATACTAATTTTAGACAATACTGCGATAATATATACGTACGTAATATAAATAATAAAGTAAATATTACTGCACTGATCAAGTTATACTGTACAACTACACTGTTTCTTTAATTTAGTAGATTTTGCTGGAATAATCATTGCAGCACTTCATTATAACACGGTATTCCAAATTGAAAAATTTGCATGTTCTCTATGATTTCTCATTTGACTTCAGGAACTATTTTTACCGTATACAGTGTGTTGTACATGTACATGTAATGTTCGTATAATGATCATTTGTGATATGCAGCGTAATGTTCAAAGTTACTTCTAATTAATAACTTGGACATTATAATATATCACACAGTTTAAGTTGGATTCATTGGTGTATACTTGCAACAGTGCATACTTTTACTGCATATTACTTCTATAGTTTACTAATTTCACAGTGGAATGTTGCAATCGGATTACAAGGATACAACCCTGTTTACTAAAAGTTAGTTGCTTTAGCTAAAGCTAAAGTCGAGCAGATGTACGTAGATTTAGGGCTGACATAGCACAGGAATGCATAACCGATTTTAGTTTGCAAATACCATGGAATACAATCTATTTTATAGTGATACTGTGAATCTCTCGTTAAATCTAATACACAAAGGACGTGAACGAGTAAAATAAATCACAGCGTAACGTTAGCTATCGTAAAAAGATCAACTTTGCATTACTATATAGTGGTGTGACCCATAGTGCTGCACTGTAGTTCTTGAAGCATACAGACCTCAATTTGTATATCAGGCACAACGAATTCGTCCATAACCCTTAATTTAGGAGCAACGGTTGACACAGTACTTTATGAGATGGCAGTTCGTTTGTAAGGTTAAGAAGCGTATACTGTATTGTTTTGAATTGGAGAGAAATTAATCTAGTTATTAAGCTACACAAGCATCACTGAAGCATGAAAGTATCATTCATTATGCTGCAAATCTAGCTATCAATTTATCACGCATTTGTTGTAGTACAGTATACAATAACTTACCAACAGCATAAGCATATGCTCTTTATTTAATACGGGTACTCTCTACTTCTAGTCTAATGAAAACGCCAAATCAATGAATTGGAATGCTGCAAATGATGAGCAAATCCATTAAAACGACATTGTTTTGTCAATCGTTTCAGTATAATCTACATTACAATTAGAGATCTCCCGACTCTGGTGATTACAGTACTGTACTGTACTGTATGTCGTACAGTACGGCGATGGGACAACTGTACTGTACACCACTAAGTTCACCGGTAAATTGAAATTTAGTAGTCAACGGCCGTACAGTACCTACAGTACACTACTGCACTGTAGTTGTACCCATTCAAGTCTGCAGTCTGCAATACAGTAATATACTGTACGGTACTGCAACGTACAACGGTGGCTCACAATACTGTACTGTAGACTACTAGATTCAGTACTGTAATGACAGTAGAGTGTACAGTAGTGTACTGTAATGTACTGTACTGTAAGTTTCTGTAAGACTGTAACTATCTTATCTTATACTGAATATGATAGCCAATCAGAGACGACTACATCTATTAGCCTGACTAGGAGCTACTGCACTCATACCTGACTGGTGTAGAGAGCTTTTTTGACCTCTATGTTCGCGACTCTTGAAACTCGCAAATGCAAAATTTCTTGAATTGCTGATGACAAGAGTAGTAAAGACTGTACTATACAGTACCATTCGTAGTACTGTTATTACTGGAGAAGTAGTGGGTCTGGTATCGGCGGACTGCTCAGTGCTCAACCGCTTGAACTGTTAGTTCGATTAATAATTATATTAGTCGTTAACGGTGTAGTGCGACAGAAATATTGATGAATATTCTTCTCTAAATACGGAACATGATATCTCACATTTTCATAATACAGTTAACTTTGACTAAACGCTGCATCTTTTCAGCTTAATCATATAGCCATGTAGCAAAAGCTACTACAAATCTTGATCTTACCAGGCTAACTGTTCCGTTTAGTCATATTTAAAAAACAGGAGTACTTAGATTTATCGAAAATTATCGTACGGTACTGTATTCACTAGGGCAATAATAAGTAATAATTATATATAATTATTATAATTCGTGATAATACAGTAATAAAACAGCCGAACTCGTGTGCCCGTGATATGAAGTTAGGCATTTTCTGTAACTTATGGTTAATTAATTATACAGCATATCGTAGTAGTATATTATACTTATGACATAAATTGGATATTACTGTACTAGTACTAATTATCATTCTTACATTTATCGACATATTTTCAAAATTAACGGATTTGGCTAATAACTTGAAGGAAGCACGCAATGAAATTCAATTCTTACTCATACAAAGATTGGTAACAACATTGTCAAGTCGTTTCCTACATAGAGGTGACATTAATTAACTTACAGGATCTACTGTATACAAGTATATTAATCATATACAAGGTGCTATATTTAATATTGTACATGCAATGTAATCCTAACCTCGTAGTTAGCTGTTTGTGGTCTTAGCTCGAAAGTTAGTAAAAATTCATCAAGTACAAAAAACTGAATATCTAGATAGACATCAGTGTTCAGAAACATTGATAGCAATTTAAAGGGCTTTTAATAATTACGAATATTAATTTAATGATACAATATTTACAAACTTACATTTTAATTTCAATGACAAGAAAGTAAAATTTATCCTTAGTGTACACCTTTCTATTTGCGACTATACGATTAGAAAAGCTCATTCGTTATGGTAAATACGTTATGGCAGTACCTTGCAAATAAGCGTAATAATAAGTTAAAATGCTGAAACTATATTAGTTGTAAATTTCTATTACACGATAAACGGTGGTTAATGCATGCGAAATTATGACCGTGCAAGAGAGGTTAATCATAATAGGTGCTGAATGCTAGCTGCATTGCAATTTGCAAACCATCGCTATTTAGAATGTCATATAATCATGTGTATTTTATACCAAAAAAAACTATTGGAAATATAATCTATTCATTATAATTACGAAAATTTTTATATCAAAAGTAATGATTCCCAGGTAATGTATGAAAAACTAATCTGCATACAAGCTTATTACTTTCAGTATTTTATATTTACTGTCCAATACAGGTGTTAGGTACAGTGATGTGCTACAAGATCTACGCAAATGCATTTTAACCAAGCATCTGAAAGAAGCAAAGACTGCATGACTCTTTCCACAGGTATCAGATTAACCGATCTCCTGATAGCAATTTCCTACACACCCGCCAATAAATAATTGTATAACTTTTGCATTACTGAAATCCACCAAGAACAAAATCTAGGTCAAAAGTATTAGTTCAGACACTCGGTGACCGCTTACTAATCAGTTACATAATGTACAGCATTGCTATGACAAACCTAATACCGTTTTAATATAAGTAATTTAAATCACAATTCACACTACAATATGCTATTAAATAAAATTAAATGTAAACGTAAAACGCATTAAAGCTGAAATTTTAGTACTTATTTTTTGTTCATCAATTGATCAGTATCAAACTTTAGACAGAGCTAAATCTTGATGCAGTATGAATGCTATTTCCCGCTTAAACTGTATTTCAACGCTATATCAGTGGATGCCAAGTAATAAATTCGCTATAGCCAATCACTACTGTAATTCCTCTCATGAAGATCTTTACATGATGCACATGAATCACTGCATAAACGGATTATTACCTCCAAAACCACTACCTCCACCACCCTAATAGATCATTGATGATATAAAAATATTTAAAATTAAATATATGAATGCTACGTAAAATATTTTAGTTTTAGTTTCATTAGGTAATAAAGTTTACAACTACGAACTGTTAAAAAATTTTACTGTTATCTGCGATTATACAAACCATAAATGGATTCGTTTTAGCCTGTTGTTGAAAGCCTGCGGACGCACTGTTAGTTTTTCCAAATTGATTTGCAGCCATAGCAGTCATACCTACAGCTGCAAAGTTATTCATACCGGTTTGCTGACCCTGAGCAGGATTCCTGTTCATGCCAGCACTTTGCTGTTGCCAATTATTTGATGGCTGTTGTTGTTGGCCCCAGTTACCGGATTGCTGTTGCCCCCAATTATTAGATGGTTGTTGTTGTTGTTGTTGCGACTGACCCCAATTATTGTTAGCAGGCTGAGTTTGTCCCCATTGTTGAGTTGATGGTGTTTGTCCCCATTGTTGAGTTGATTGTGTTTGTCCCCACTGTTGAGTTGATGATGTTTGTCCCCACTGTTGAGTTGATGGTGTTTGTCCCCACGATGTTGGCTGTTGTTGAGATCCACCGCCTTGCTGACTTGCTGAAAACTGCTGATTACCAAAATTTGACTGAGATTGACCCCCAAAACCAGCCATCTGGTTATTGTTAAACTGAGGTCCAAAAGCATTCTGAGATGGGATATTTTGTCCAAATGACGACGATTGTTGAGTTGTCTCTAGAAAGTGTCATAACAATAACAATTACAACAGTATTACGGACCCTTTACTAATATTTATTTCGTTTAGGAAAATAAATCATACTTGCAAATGACTGAGTAGAAGGATATTGCCCACCACCAAAGGAGGATTGCTGCATTTGTCCCGGATCCATGTTCGAAAAAACTGAAGTTGTAGGAGTATTACTAAATCCTTGAGAACTGGTCATTGAAGACATTGGATTGATATTCGTCGAAGAAGTACCAAATACTGAAGTTTGGGGCTGTTGTTGCCATTGCGAGCCTTGGAAAGAACCTGTATCGGTAGAAATATTACTGCCGAAAGGATTGGGGTTAGACGATGAGAGAGAAAAGCCAGTTTCTTTACTAGTAACAGTATCAGTGATCCTAAGGCTGTCTAGACCAGAAATAGCTGCATATCTATCATCATTTGTAGTCGTTGTTGTATTACTCGGCGTAGGTTGAGAAGCGGGAGCATTAGTATTGCCTATGTAAACGATCCCACGATTTAAAATATTTTAAATTTTGTTGACATTTCATAATATTTACACATCCTATCGCTTACTTTGCAGAACAGGTGTTGCAGTCCCAGAATTAGTTTCTAAGTGAGATTTTTACATTGAATTAAAGTAAGACAAATAATAACTACGTTAAAAATTTTAAGATAATAAATTTCAGATAAAATAAATTTTAAGTGTTCTTCAGAAGGAGATTCATTACCAAAAATCTTGAATTTTATTACTAACCAGACACTGTATCTGTTGATCCGCCTTGTCTGAAAATATCGTAAGCTGATTTTCCACCTATTATGCAAATGCCATAAGAATTAACTCTACGTCTTACAAAAGAGATAGCTACCTAACTAATTTACCTGACGTTGACGAAGTGGAATCGTTGTTTTGTGGTTGACTGCCAAATGATGCGAACTGATTGTTTACTAAATAAGGCAACGATTTATATACATGTGCTTAAAATTCAATTAAGCAAGTTTGAATAGCGCAACTGTCTATGATATTGTACTATTCTAGAAATAACAAATATACGGTACAATGATGACTTTTACCTGGTTGAGTTGAAGTGTGACTCACAAAGTTAGTGAAGTCGTTATTAGCTAAAAAATAGGTAAAAGGCTTAATTAGATTCCTGTATCGTTAGTATACAGTATATCGGATAAAGTTACAATCGTTCTTTTTAGCTATACAGTACCAAAAAGTCTATACCTGGTTGAGCAGCAGGCTGGCTATCAAAATTAGCAAATCCGCCACCTGCAATATAACAAATAAAAAATTTTATGATGATGTTTTAGTATACAGTATATAGGATAAAGTTACAACCGTTCTTTTTAGGTATACAGTACCACAAAGTCTATACCTGGTTGAGCAGCAGGCTGACTATCAAAATTAGCAAATCCCCCACCTGCAATATAACAAATAAACAATTTTATGATGATGTTTCTCCTAACTTAGATTGTTAGTAAAGCAGTATCATTGATTAAATTGTAACTGTAGCTAATCATATCCACTTATTGCAGACATAAATTCATCATTAATATTGATATATAACATTAATAATCCAATAAGACTTAAATACTGACCGAAATATACGTAATAGCAGTCCCTCGGGCGGTTACACTGACAAACTAATTTATACTCAACAGAAATAGCTGAAGTTATTTACACTATCACTAAAGTATTACCGAATTATGTACTGTATCATCGGTATATGTAAGTCAGCTTTTTACTTAGTTATCTCTAACTGATATTTTTTACGTAAGCTGATTATTCAATTTAGAAGATTACATTAGTTATGAATTAGTATAGAATGTCAGCACATTATCAAACATCTACAATAAGTGGCTTGCTAATGATATATGATAGTATGATTCGATAAATATAGCTGGGGGTTTATTTAGTTTATAGCGGTTGAGACTGATAACATATTCGGTCATCACAGTTCTAGCTGATAATAGCCTAATCCTAAAATTGTACCTGATTGTGTTGGTTGTTGGCTACCAAAATTAGCAAAATCGTTACTGACTGCTAAGTCAAAAGTTGTTTAAAAATTGTTAGGAGATTAAGCTCGGTAGGAGAGTTTTAAAATTTATAGAATTAATTGAGCGTACGAATTTAGCAGTAAATTTATCATCATTAAGTTAATCAACATAGAGCATTATAGGTAAAGCAATACTCTTTATAACTATATTACCGTTTCCGGCTTGTTGTGAACCTATCAAAAAAGTACCATTGTCGAAATTACTTTGTTGTGAAAGTTGTGATTAAAATAGTACGCACAGCGTAATTATGACAAAACAGATATTTTATGTTCCATTACGGGAACTTAGAAATGACTATTATCGTTACTTACCAGGTGCTGACTGCGTGAACGCGCCAAAGTTGTCATTGGCTATAAGAGAAAAACAGTCTTAACTTATCGAAATTCTCTTACTGTTACATCAAGTCTAGTCGCATACCGGTATATCAAAACAAGGTAACTGATCATATTAGTTAATTTAAGATTACTATATGGTTATGATAATAAATCTATACTCACAATTGGAGTTAGAACCGAAAGGATCACTTGAAAAATTTCCAAACGGGTCAGCAGTTGGCTGACTATTCTGTTGTTGAGTGCCGACTAAATTGGAAGAAGTGGGGGAAGTTGTTCCAGTCGGTCGAGCAAGAGCTTTAGTTTCAATCTTTGGGCTTGACTGTACATTCGAGTTTTATTTTAGTCCCGCGTATATAAAATGAGTTAAGGGAAATAATTTAACAATAGGTATTTTAACCGTACTTCTTATTGTAATCAAGTTACTTTGTGTTGCCAATTGAGCGCCACTTATCACTGCAAGTCATGCAGTCCTACCTGATTGATATTATTGGCAACTACAAGAGGCGTAGTTTTAGCACCAACTAATTGAGATAAGGGCTTGACTTCACTATCGGCTTGATTTTGTAAGTCTTTCAAAGCAATAGCAGGGTCAAGGTACCATGTCTTCTTTTCGTATTTGTAAACCAAAAATTTTTTGAGTTTTTGCTCGTCTTTAGCATCTGGTAATGGCCCATCAGTTTTAATTTCATGTTTACCCAGCCAAACTCGCTGGCAGGCCTAATTTTACCCAAAGCATTGCAGAGTTATACGCGAAGAACACACGAAGAGATATTGTGCATTTGTGATCTATCGATAGTAATTGTTAATAGGACATCCAAAAACTGATACTACGTTAACTTATATACTTGTATGATAAAAGTAAAGTACAGTATGCTTTGGAAAGCTTGATCTAAATATGTTTCACTACAGGACGTTTGTATGAACGTTCGTAAAGTGATTGCTATAGATTAAATCATTATCCAACCATAAATAGTAACTCAAATCTAAAATACATTTTGTACAGTAAGAATATACATACAGCGGGCAATCATTAAAATTTATTATTAGCATATAAATCTGATGTAATAGCATGTATGTACGTCAAGTACAGTACGTGTAGTATCGATTATGGTACTATATTACAGAATATTGATATTTTGTAGTATTACTTGAAACGTAACGAATAGGAAAACTCTGAAAACAATGTTTTTTAAGTTGCTACTGTAAGAATTAATTACAATCAAAGGCGTAAAGTTTATTTACAAGTGTATAGTGGTACTGGAGACTGTTCAATTAAGAATACAAGTTACAAATCTAAAGCTGCGAACAAAATAATTTACCAAATTGCCCCCTTTGTAAGACTTAATGTTGTCCATTTCAGCAGCGGAAAAACTAGTCATTGACATCGACTTAACGCGATGAGGTGGGTTAAGGCCACGGCTACAGATAGAATCATTTTTAAGAAATATAAAGATGTATTCATTAAGTTAGTTTTATATAGATTTACAATGCTATCCATCTTCACGCATTGAAATACATGGTCAAGTACAGTATACTGCGTTATCTTGCTACGGTTTATAGTAATTCGGAGTATTGCACGATAGAAAGCAATCAGTACAATACGTATGTTGCAGTATAATTATAATAGTATGAGTGATTGATTGCTTAGTCAATAACTTTAGGAGTAAAGCACATTTATTGATGTAAGAATGTATCTACTCAAAACGATTAATCCTAATCGTATATATGCAAGAAATACAGATAGTTATTACTGCGTTGTATAGCTGTAATACTAGTACTTTCTTGGTAAATTTACTTCTATTACTCCATAATTCTATATTATCATCATGGGAATCATGTCTTCCAATAGGAAGGTCTTGAGATCTTAGTAACTGCTGAATCGACCGTAGCATTTTAAATTTGCATTTGCTCGTTATGAGAATATGATGGTTATTTAAGGTATGCATAACTTAAAATGCAAAATAATCCGCTGGATGTACTCGATAACTTAAAAAATAGTGTCAAATAGAAGAAATCAAACGATAAATCATTCTGGAGAAGTTGCTTTAGCAACTCTACTGGCAATATGAAGGGTTTGGCGGAAAGCACCATAAGGATGATATGGTACGGTATGGTACGGCACAGCACGGTATGGTACAGTACGTTGAATTACATCACATGGAAGCGCTGTACAGTACAGTACTGTACTATGGCTATAGGAAGACGGATACTACAATATTGTATATTGTGCTATGAACTGAAGTTACAGTTGTAGTGTAGTTTTGTTTTTATTTTAATTTTAACCTTCACACGACTTGTCAATATTAGTATAGTATTACTCTCTAGTTTTGTACTGTCCAGTACATACTGTACATATTGCACTGGACTCCTGAACTTTCGGCAAGGTGAGATAATTGCATACTGTACTGTAGAGTATGACACATTACTTTGCTCGGGCCTATTTCGCATTCCATTCCTTAGTTCATTTAAACTTTACTTTATATTCACGAAAGAACGAAAGTATGATGAATTTATGATCGAGCATCTATAAAAATAGGACGCAGGGCATTTTAGCCGATTTTTCTTTTCTCACACCATCATGAATGGGTCACAGACCAGCTTGACAAAATGAAAGCGTGATTCACTAATAATGTTCATAGTATGGACTGTAAAACTGTACTGTATACAGTCTGTATATTCAACCATTTTGACGTCATTGAAAGTCCGCTGAAGAGTTAAACAGGAAGGGCTAGTGTTTACTCGAATTCCTTCAACGAGAAAGGAATTCTAGGTGGTATTCCTAATTTCAATGCTTTAATTCACTTACTAAGTCTACGACTTCAGAAGGCTAGTTCATTTTAATTCTACTAGTGCAAGTTGTCATAATAACGGTTCAAGATAACTTGGGATTTCTCCGTTTAACTTAATGAGGTACTGTACTGTACATTCAGACCGAATCAAAGTTCATCGAGATATATTCCAATTTTGGGAGCAAGAATTACGTCTTACTGAACGTAATAAAGCACACGATAAAATTGACTTAGTAATGCTGTAGTAAGAAAGTTTCGATATAGTGTATCTTTGACTGTATATCATTATTATGGAAAAATAGTGAATGTATGGACGAGATAGCGTAGTCTAGTACTAGTACAATTTAAATAAGCTAATTCTTGGTATCCTCCCTATGACTTTGATGAAGATCACTACTTTATACAAAGTATTCTATTTTACGAATTTAAATAGCAAAGGCTCACCATACGCAGTAGACAGCGTTGAAATAATGGATGATGCTACGAAATATTGCCATTGATAGGTTAACTACGATATAATATAACTTTAATTTTTACTGCTCAGTAGTGTATTGTACTTTAGAGAAGGTTTGCTGTGCGGTATTGAATTAATAAAACACTCGTTCAAAATAAGTGGCACTACACGATTGCCCCCAATGTACTTATTGTGAGGAATAAATGTTAAAAGGGTAGAATCAATCAATGGCGCTAGGGTCCAGCATAGGTGAGCGTCATGATTTACAAGTTTAAATTTCATCAAAGTGCAATAACAGGATAGAGTAGACATAAATCTCAAAAAGAACGAACAACTCCAACTACAGCTATCACCACATTATGATAAAAGGAATATTGCTTGTCTACGAATAAAAAGGCAAAGTTGCAAATGATGAGTTTTGTATATTCAAGCAGATGATGCATTGACTGGTTAGCAAATAGAAAATTCAGTGAAAATGTCAAAGACAGCTAGGCTACAATGAAGAAGAGTGAATGTGGTCTCCTCTCTACAGAGTCAAGTACAAAGAATGCATCGAATTACATGAAACAAAAACGATACTCACAGTAAACCGCTGCACATCGTACAGACAAACGAGTACACAGTTACATCAACATAAGTTGGGCCTCGCTGTCTACATTCAAAGCAACGTTTATTATGCTCTTGTGAGACGAGGCTTCGTAAAATTTTCAAGTTATTTTCGTCCAGTTTCTTCTGTTGAGAAGCCATGTTGAACTTGGCAAATGGGTTATCTCTCTTTTTCGGCAGCTTGTGGACCCGTGGCTTGAGTGGGCTGACACGATTACTGCCACGACAAAGCTTTTCACACACGGGTGAGTTTAAAGTTCGGTACGTCCGTTTCAGCCTAGAGAATGACGGGCCATTGACGGCGTCTGGTGTGACTGCAGTAACGGCATTACTGTGCTAAAAATAGCATTCAGGCTGTCTGTCAGTGTTTGTGTCACGAGTCCATGGTACAGAGTACAACACAAGCGAATGGCATTTACCGTACCAGGAACCAGTGCAAAGTACTGTAACTGAATACCATCATACTGTACGTACAGTACAGTACAATATGATGATCGGCTGCATAGGTGAATGTACTGTACTGTACCGCACTGTTGACAATAGTGTTTGGCTGTAGAAGATGATTTTACCGTTATCGTGTCATGTTTTGCAGGTGAGCTGCAATGGCTGAGTCCACTGTTATGATATGACAGTACAGTGGTGTACTAGTGGACTGCATTGGATGAATGTTCCAGCAGGGAAATAAATTGCACCGGCTTTAAAAAGTTGCCAAATTTCTCTCCTCCATTAGACAACCCAGTCCAAGACGTAAACTATTCCTTCATCCTTACCGTTAACATAATATTGAAATTGGGCGGTTATACGGAAAGAAGGGTAAGATTGAGATAGACGTTCAATTCAGCTACTACAGTACAGTATCGATCATTTCATTATCAGTGATAAAAAAAACAGTCTTTCAATGGACGCATCGGATCGGTCGATTGAAAGACGCTTAGCGAGATATGCATACAGTAGTTTGCTACAGATCCAACGAGCTCTTCGCATCGACAAATTCGACATGTTGCAAAGTAATTCCACTTTGACGAGATTAAATTAGCATATGATTTGATTGATAATGAATATCGGATTAGTATTCAATTCTAGAACTGTTGAATTTAAATTATCTGCTTAGTAATTATATTTTGTGCATGCTAATGCCTAAAGTTCAATCACATCCCATTGAATGTTACTGTCAATCAATAAACGTGTTATTCTATATTCCATACCAATTTCAAATGTATCTAGATTGTCAAGATATCCTACTAGAGGATTCACACATTAGACGTATACGCTTACCTAAAGTACGTACGTCGTAGTTTTATCCTTTGATCAAAATCATCCATTTTTAATCATGATGACAATACAGTATGTACTGTAATTATTTCAAAATTATCTTAACATAATGACTACAATAGTCGTTAAGATAATTTACTCGTAAAAATACAAAAATAAACATCAGTACTTCTCCGTCAATTTAAAATGTTGATTCTGCTTCCTCTATTAATTAGAATGACTCTTCTTATTGATGATAGTAGGAAATTAAAACAAACAATAACAAGCGGTTATCATAGAACACTTGCTTAACCAAGCTGATCATGAAATCAATTGAAAAAGAAGGAAAACGCCGCTTGGTTAAAGCGAAACATGATTACAGTGCTGATAGCAATAGTGATGTAAGTTCTAATCGAACGCATAGAACGTAAAAGGTGTACAACAATTTTTCATGCTTCCTTTTAGATGTTATATTAAAGTTGATCACTACGAGTAGATACAACATCATAATTCAACAAATGCTTACATTTGTCATACTAGTATACTGTAGATTACAATAGCATTGATTCTACAGCACTGTATTGTATTAGAGAGAAAGTCGAAGATATGTAAGATTTGTTTGATACTATTCAAAGATTGGCTTCTTAAATAAGATGATGCTGATATCAACATGACAAGAAATGGCAGGCTGATATTGAAATGATTGCATTTGCCTTTCTTTAGCCTTCATATTATAGTTATTACAGTAATAATTTTTAACTTGAAGATAATAATAAGTACAGGCAATTTTGCCTAGTAATGAACTATTTTGGTTTTTGATCCCACCGATTCGCAAGCTAGTAATATTACATCTATTTATGCACGTATAATTAAGAAAGAAAGGTGTAGTCCACTCTGTGCTGCGATAATCTGAATTTTGAAATATCTTCTTTATTCGCTGTAAACATTCAATGCATTGACCATAGTACTAGAATAGAAGAAGATACCAGATGGTAGATGATATAAACGGTTAATTAGGTTACATGTGATAATTCTCTTTCATGTTTTAGTTATCCTTTAAGAAGGGAGATTATATTGAAATTATAGAGGTAAGACTGTGATTTAGTTAACGTAGAAAATAATAATTCAAATCCATAAATTACATTTATTACTTAATTTGATATAACAGACTCGTGAAATTTTCGTTTAATTTGATGGCCTTTTTTGATTAAGATAATTTTGCGACATTCCTTTAATAACTATAAAGATTTTAATTTAATTAGTGTATACTACCTATTGTACGGTACTATGAATTAATGGGAACCCGTGTACGTGTGTAGCATAATTAATGTGATTACCTTACTGTCGAAATTAGTAGCTCTATATTTTGATAAACAATAAAATTACATCTTTTCATATAACAATATTGATATTTCTAGCAACCTGATAGAGATTGGTGGAAGGGTAAATTACGTGATAAGGATGGCTATGGATGGTTTCCAGCTAATCATGTTACTGAGGTTAAAGGTAATGCTAATTGCTATTTGGTAAATAAAATGTACTAGATTTAAAATCGTAAACTGTTTAAGTTTAATCTTTTTTTGCTAACGTATTTCTCAATCAGCACAGTAAATGTTGAATTATGGCTTTTTCCAGTTTTATTAATATACGTCTTTACTACGTTTGGAAAGAGTTTATGTTGAAACAATTAAAAGATGACATCTGTCATACATAAATTGACAGCATTATACCTTTGTTACTAGTACACTGATTTTCGTATCTAAATTTACTTATGAGTAGAGGAAATTGTTAAAATGCATATTTTTACGCTTGTATAGAACAATACAATAGATATCAAGTAGTTATTCTGGTAATATCAGTTTTATTGGATTTGGCTCCATAATTAATAGATCAAGCATCCATTTAATGATAGCTCACCATAGATAATTTCCTTTTCTGATTTCAATCAAGTGAGTAACGTCAGATCGTCTACATTGCCCAGACAAAATACTTCTGGCCAATATTATGGTATTGTTGTCCGAGATATCGTAAAACAAGAAGAGGAATTTATTGAAAAATTACGGGTAATTTTTTGACATTAAGTATTAGAGCGTCGTAATCCAGTGATGACGCCGTTAGTGATTAGTTAAGGTTAATTTGCTATGTAATTTTGTAAACCTTTATTGTATTATTATTATATATATATATGTATATGTATTTATTGTACGTTTTTTCAACAGGACATTTACCAGTATTATTTTATACCTTTTAAAAAAGAAGAAGTGTAAGTTAACGTATCAATAATATCGTATATATCTATAATAAATACAAATGGTTATTCTAAATTAATTGGTGTCGATGTACTAACTACTGTAGGCTACCGGTTGGTGATTCTGAAACCGTTTGCGGTAAATTTGAATCATTAATTAAAATACATGAGGGATTTTTGAAAAGATTGAAGGATGAAACAGCGTGAGTTTCATTAATTCAAGTGGCAAAATGTTATGTATTCATATAAAATTTTACTACGGTAATATACACCGAGATAGAAGTTTGAACTGTAGTATTATATATTGATAGCGATAACTCGTCTTCTAATGAAATTCTTACTACGGTAGTATTATTGTTCAAGCCAGTAATACAACAATCACGACCTAAATTTTAAATGTAGACTTGGGTTATATACCAAAGTTAATTAAAATTATATTATAGCGTAGTTTTTCAAATAAAATTTAAACTCAATAATAAATGCAATAAAATCAATATTCTTTTAATCTATATGCAATAGGCGCAGCAATAACGAGCAATCTATTGGTAGCTGCTTTCTCAATTATTTGCGTCAGGTGATTATTTCGATTACTTTTCAATCTAGTTATTATACAGTACATCATATTGGCATATCTTTGTATTAACGAATATTTTTAATCTATGTTATTACCAACATTTGCAGTTCGAAGCTTTTTACCGATTTTACTTTATCAACTTCGCGGTCGCTTCGGTATTAGTACGACGGAATAGGTGTGTTGGTAGCACCAACAGATCATTTAAACTGTTACATTACATGTCACTTTACTTAATAGATCTTATATTAATAATGGGCTGTACTCTTATTAAGGATTAAGTTAGATGCTTTTATAGAAAATAAGCGATTACCAACGCATCAAGGCATAACCTTTGCTACCTGCATAGAAATGGTATTATTCAGCAATATCACTAATTACCAACAGCATGATTTGTTCGTGTTAAAATACGTATTATGACACGTTTATAATTAAAAGTTCTTTTCTTATCATAGCCTTTGAAGCATTTTGAGGCGTATCTAAAAGCACTGGGAGGACTCTTAGAAAACATTAGGGTATTTATTTATTTAATATTGCTTTTGATTGCTGCTGCAATCTTAGAGAAATACTTTTATTTTAATTCATGTTAAAACCACTGTTGAAACGTTTGATATCTTGTTAATTATAGGATGGACATCCATGCAAAGCAGCATTGAGGGATGCGTTAGTAGTATTTTCCGAATTGTTTGTAAGTTGATATTATTCAATTTACTAAGGAATAAATCGACCCAAAAACATCCTTCATCTTAACCGTACTTACCATTTTACTTTGATAAAGAATCTTTGTACAAAATTGCGAAAAGCTAAAGAAACTGAAATTGATATTGTCACTAAAAAATTGATAGGTTTTGAAGGAAAATATGTAAGCTGCAATTATACCTTTCTCTATAGATTGATTAAATAATACTAGTTGTCATTTATCTAATCGCTTTTAAATATATGAACTAAAAATAGTTAGCGCACACCTACGGAAAAGCAATTTACATATGCACTGTATGGATTAAAGCCGCCGAGGTTGGCCATACGTTTTATTATCATTTTAATGTCTGGATATATTATTGAACATAGAGTATCTGTAAATAAAACTAAGCAGATTGTAAACTTTAATATTTTCTATAAAATTTACTTCTTTTCTGCTAATTTTTATATAGCATATACAACCATTGCTATCTCTGCTACAGAGTTAACTAATAGTAACCGTACAAGATTTTTTAATTGCGAAAAAAATACCCATTGGAGATACAACCGTTGTGATTCTTTGTTCTACCTTTTTTTGATATTATTTTAGGCTAAGGAACGCTATTTATTGATATTCGATAAAGTGATTGTGCTCGTTAGTGCGGGTTCTGGATTTCAAGGATACTGTTTGGAGGTTATAAATAAATTTTATCCAGCGTACATGGAATAGAAATTGATTTAAGCACTAACACCCATGATAGCTTATAATAAGACATATTTAAACCTTATTTCTTTCATTAGGGTACGTTTAGTATAACCCCAGATCTTGGGATTACTGTAGTAAATGATGTGATTAAGCTTGATGAAAATAGCGATGGCTATAAATGTGCTATTGAAATCAGAGGTAAGACTGCTTTATGTTTAGTTTTATCACAAGAAGGATACTAAAATATATTGATTAAAGGATTCTTGCCTCAAGTATCTATGGTAGAAACAAGTATGGGCAAGTATTGATTTACTAAGGGAACGTTGTTATTGCTACAGATAATAAAAGCTACGAGACATATATCCTTGATGTTAAAGATTTTGAACAGATACTGAGAATCTTACAAAAGAAACTTAACGACGTTAGTATTAATCACCCGTAAATGGTAGTTTTGTTACGATCACTTGATCAATACAATCTCATATTG